TTTATTTACTATGTACTTGGAGTCTTGGACAGTTGACACCCAGGACTTCTTGTCTCTGATATCGATCGTTTCCCGGAATCTGGTGTATTTATTATCCAAGTACCTAGGTTATCTGCCGTAACATTGCGCTACGTACTTGATACTATGCACCACGCTACCTGGAACTCCGCCTCGATGCTGTGGGACTGGCTGCCCCTGTCTCCAAGCAAACAAGTTCCTGATATCCATACATCAGATATAGTACTTATCGTATTTCAAGACTGGCAGGCGGGCAGGCGGGAGGGAGGGGAGGGGAGGGGAGGGGAGGGGAGGGGAGGGGAGGGGAGGGGAGGTCCCCGGATCATGCGCAGCCGCTGCTCCAGACCATTTCCCGAAAGTGATCTATTGGATAGCGGTCGATCTTGCTCTCCAGCTCAACTGAGGCAAGATGACGAAACGGCGAGACCTGGGTTAAAACGCATGGATTAGCAAAAGACAGTGTGGTGCTACCGCTTGTGCTAGAGTCGCAGATCTGTCGTCATTTCCCTGCGCGTGAACTGAATTGTAACTATCACGGTCAGGCTTTGCCCCCTTCTCTTTCTTTCATGCGGTGCAGAAAAGGAATCCCTGTTGTCTCGTGTCTTTATTTGGAGAGGCAAAGATGGCAATGAGAGACTACGCGGCCACTTGATGCAGACAACGATAGTGAGGCGTAAAATGTTACTCGCAACCTTGATGATAAGTTGGTAGCCACCTTGGCATTGCACACACACTGCATATAGGCCACATGAGCTGGGTGTTCCCGAGGTGATGGGCTGGGAGGAGGGTGGTAGTCAAGTACTAGTAATAGCAGTAGTATACAGATAATACCAAGGCTTGGCTTGATGCTTGGTTACCCCCCACCCCGCAAGCACGGAATATATACACGCTTGGACCTCACTCAGTACTAGAGTAAAATACTTCACAGTCCACTAACTCCAATCCCGAGATCAAATCAATACAAAATGTGAAGGCTGGTCTCTTTTAGCTGCAGACAGACGTTCCATGGATGCATTGAAGATCGCTCCTGGCATGATGTCGACTTGATGACTTAACGCAATGAATATGGCGCCCGGCAAGTGCAGATTACCAGTTTTCTTGTGTGGCATTGCCAGTAAACAACCACAATGAATCCATGCTTGCCACTCGTCGAAACAGGTTGTTGTTCATCATCGGACCAGCTGCAGGAACATGTTGTCTCGCATACCCTGGCCTAGTCTGGGCACCTTCTGGCCACGCATAAATGTATAGTACCTGGCCGGGTCAGGTAAGGTACGATAAAGAGGAGCAGCACTTTGACGACTGCCGAAGACTCCACGGAAAGGTAGGAAACGGAGGTATACAAAAGGCCGCTTCCTCACATTTCTTGGCTCGTCCTGACTAGTCTTGTTTCCTCATTGACCACTACGTGATCTATTTGATCTTCCAAAAAGCTCCATCCACCTATTCTACTGCATTATCACTCTCCAGACTCTTCCCTTTAGAATTTTGAAAGCCCGCAATATACACCCGTCACCATGGAGGGCATCTTCGCAGCGCAGACCAAGTTCCGCCAAAACCTGGGCCTGAAAAAGGTCAAGGCCATCCGGAACGCAAACTACAAGGCGCAGGGCACAAAGTCCTACGTCTACCTGCTGAACCGCTTCGGCTTCCAACCCACACAGCCAGGACCTTACTTTGTCCAGAACAAAGTCGTCCAGAGAGGCCTTGCCCCGGAATCATTCCAAAAGGCTGTGGGTGGTAGACTCCGCCACCAGCGCGTGCTCGTCAAGAAGACTGGCGATGACGACCAAACTGGCGAAGTTACCGCTGATGACCAGCAAAATGATTCAATGTATGTATACATGTTGGACTCTGGCCTTGATTCCAGACTCCCACTACCAGTCAGAAAAGTGAAATGATTGCTCACTTCACAACAGGTACCTCTGTGAAGTTGATATCGGAACGCCAGCCCAGACAGTCAAGCTGGACTTTGACACTGGTTCAGCCGACCTTTGGGTCTTTTCCACCGAGCAGAGCAAGTCCACTCAGAAGGGCCATGCTGTCTTTGACCCAAAGAAGTCTTCCACTTGGAAGGAGCTCTCAGGCAAATCCTGGAAGATCTCTTACGGCGACGGCTCGAGCGCCTCGGGCGACGTCGGCACTGATACCGTGTCCATTGGCGGACTCAAAGTCGAGAACCAGGCTGTCGAGCTGGCAAAGACCATGTCGGCACAGTTCTCCCAGGGCACTGGCGATGGACTGCTGGGATTGGCTTTTGGCACCATCAACACGGTGACTTCTGGGTCTCAATCGGATCCTCAGCCCACTCCTGTTGAGAATATGATCACACAACAGGACATCCCCAAGGAGTCCGAACTCTTTACCTCGGCATTTTACAGCGAGCGCGATCAAAACAAGGAGTCCTTCTACACTTTTGGCTACATTGACCAGGACCTCATCACCGCTTCTGGCGAGGAGATCCATTGGACCGACATTGACAACTCTCAGGGATTCTGGCAATTCCCCTCGGCCTCATACTCCATCAATGGCAAGTCCACCACTGTCTCGGGCAACACTGCCATCGCCGACACTGGCACCACTCTGGCTCTCGTCTCCGACGATGTTTGCACGGCCCTGTACAAGCAAATCAAGGGTGCCAAGTACGACTCGCAGCAGCAGGGCTGGACCATCCCCACCAGCGTCAAGGCCGCCGACCTCCCCGACTTCAGTGTGGCCGTGGGCGACAAGGAGTTTGTCATTCAGAAGGAGGACCTCGTCTTTGCGCCCATTGACGAAAACACATGGTACGGTGGTGTACAGTCCCGCGGTGATCTCGACTTTGATATCCTTGGTGACAGCTTCTTGAAGAGCGTATACGCTGTAAGTGACAATACCCTCCTGGCAACTACCACCTTCTTTTCAATACGCTAATAAATTGTTGTAGATCTGGGATCAGGGCAACAAGCGTTTTGGTGTTGTGCCAAAGATTGAGGATACTCAGAATCTGACGCCTCCGACCACGTCTTCCTAAGCCTTTATACTTCACTCCCGTAGGAGCACCCTTATGTTCCATGGACTAAAGGAGCACATGAGACCCCGTCAGCGATTTGTTGGTCTGCTTGGTTTAGTTTCTCTAATTAGGAATGATTAGTATACATATCAGTTTAATACATTTCACGCTTCCTTTATTAGAACAGGCATGAATTCATGATGAACGAGTAATACATGACACACTGAATTGTGTTATCGAGGGCGCAATGAAAATAGGAACAAATCACCTCAAATACATGCAGTATCCCGGGTGTCGATCTCCCTTCGGCAAACCCCCCAGACCGATCGCCATATCGGTCGGCTAGGTAAGCCTCTTACTCCCGGCTCGAGCCGAGCATGTGACGGACATGGACTTTGTTTCCGATTGGCTCGAGATACAACTGTAAGAAAAGGGCATGGATTTTGTCCATTTTCCCTCTTCTTTGTTTTCAGAGACGCAGTGCAAGCACCTAAAAGATTGCGGCGAGACCAGATTCATAGTAAAGAGCGCCAGGGGCACATCCTCCGAACCAGGTTATATATGACGTAATTGTACCTGGGCAGTCATGAGCCTCTGGAGTGTATCATATGGTGCGAATTGATGACATGCACGCCTTGTGTAAGATTGCTGACAAGTAACAAGCGTTTCTTCGATTTGGTTTACTTGGATAGCTTTTCTGCATTGAACTCTCATGATATTTGGCGTTGATGATAAAAGTCACGGAGCGTAGAGAGAAAACAACGCCATGCCTGGAAAAGTAAACACTGCCACTACCAACGGCAGTACACACCCTCATATTGTTATCTCGATCGAGACAGTTCCTGTCACTGAACAATGTCACTATCCGCGATCTTCAGGATAAAGGCGGCATCACCTGGCCCCGAGATACCTTTGTCGGGTGTCACAAAGCTCTGCTTTGGGGCCCTGCTATCCTTGGTGGCCGTGGTCATCATCCGCGCCAACTTTTGCCTACCCGACAGTGTTTGGGTGGCTGCCGGACCTCCCTTTTTCTCGTGTCTTTCTCGGACGCGTGCACAGGGACAAGCACGGTTAGTGATAGCGGCACCTATGATACCGAAGGCCGATTTGTATATTGCCCCAAAAGTTTGAGGACATTTTTGCCAAGTATGCCGAGGGTCGGGGTTACAGGACCCTGGGTGATGTGGCCCGGTTGCACACGGGACAGCGGCTTATCAGTGAGTCTTTTTTCTTTTGTATATACTTGCTACTTGGGATGAATTAAAGGCGGAGGATGTTGCTTCCAAAGAGGAGCGAGCCCAGACAAAAAGATTCGAGGCTTATACAAACATATTTCGGTCGAAGCGTTGGCCGACACTTATGCTGTTGGCTGGGGAGGCAACATCTTTGAATATGAGTATTCCCTTGCGTATTGACTTGATGTGCTTCAGAAAAGGTTGGCGTTGAGTTGGGAGGATCAGGGCTGGCTACATACTTGATGTTGTGGCCCAAAGACGGCAGGATGATGAAGGAGGATGACATGAGGCGCATTTATGATGGCAGTATCTTTTGCATAGTTGCTGAGAAACATACCGCAAAGGGGCCGAAACATGCTTGAGGGTCACGATAATATGATGGATATCCGCTATCCTGATATTTGTACCTTGAAGCCGTTTGTAAAGGCTTGGTGATTTTGGTGCTCGTATTTCTGAAACTTACTACTATATTAATACAGATGGCGTCATGTGTTCATTCAAGGTCAGTTTGTCAAATAGCTTTACTTGAAGAGTATCAAAATTATTTTTTTAGAATAGTTGGCGGCCATGTGGTTCAAGCAGAATGGTTGGGAATGGAAGTCCTATAACGCCATATGTTGCATATACTGTTCTCCAGCCGCATCAACAAGTAATCGGGGAGCATCCTCTGATGCAAGTGTCTCCAAATCAGTGTCAAATGCTTCTAATGCTCGTTTACGCTTGACTTTCAAAGCTTGATCCTGCCAAAGATGAAGCCTCGCACACCATTACTGATCCAGCACTCTTCGCCATCGCAGAGGCTGTCAGCAAGAACAACCTCCTCGACGGCAAGTCCTCTGGGTTTCCTGTCAGTTCGGGTGTTGCGCCGAGAATGAAAAGCACAATGACAATGTTATAATGTGGTCCGGTCAGTGACACTCACCTTTCCAAAGCCCATCTTCTCGTAGTACCGTCATTCCCGCCACTTCCCATGCCCTCTTGGAAGATATGGGATACGGGTGGCGTGACCCATCTACCATTGCGCCAGAGGAACGGAGTCGTGATGCTTCCTTCCATGATTGAGCTGTCCCTTGGGTTGACAAGTAGAACCTCCTTGGCATCGGCCGGGCTCAGGGAATACCGTTTCCTCGCATCGTCGTACATTTGCCTCTTGGTGGTCTTGTAATGTGTAAATTCGGTCTGGGAGGTAGACGCACTATCCACGTATACCTCAAACTCGGGCTGCCTCTGCGGTGCATTTGCCGCAACCTCTTCTTCCCTAGGCGCAGGAAGGTGAGCAGGAAAAAGATTCTGTAGTCCAGTCTGCGAGGCCGGACCGGACTCGTAGCCCAGTTTGCCGTCCTTGCCTATTGTGATCTTTACGCGGTGAACGGCTGACCCTGCAGACGTGGCCACGGGCTCCAAAAAGTCATTGAGCCTTTTCAAGCCCTCGGGACCAGCGAGCTGGGCGACAGCAGAGCCCCAGCCAAAGTGCACCGCCGCTTTCAGCATGCGGTCCCGGTGGTAATCCAGCATGTACCATGGGGACGAGACTGCGCGGTTCCATTCCGTGGTGTTGAGATGTTGCTGCTTTGGTGTATCAAGCAGAATGGGATCATAGCGGATCGATGTGAACAGCCGAAACTCATCCATGGTTTTCTTGTTATATTTGCGAGTAAGATTTGGTCATTATTTGCAAACAGTCCATATGTTCTGAAGGGTATCAGCGAGACGGCATCTCACTTGCATCAAGTCACCTTGGAACCTTTTCATGCAGGTCATGGTAGAAACAGACGGCTTCTGAGCTCTGGGCCTTTACATGGTCCACTAACAGCGGGAAAGCGGATAGCGGATACGTACAATTGTAGATATCACTCACCATACATTAATGATAGTATATACATATGCAACAAAAATTTCAACACAATGAGTGGCATTTTTGTATCCTTTACATTTCAAGGACAGCCAGTGACTGCATACGTTTGCGTATGAGTCGGATTGAAAGGGCAATTGAAGTTGTTGTATTGATTTGAGGACAGCTGATAAATCGCTTGCTGGGAGTCTGCCAGGGCAATGAGAGGCCTTCTGGTAGTCGGACTCACAAGCAGTGCACAGTGAGTACATAATGGTCCGACTTTTAGAGTAATCGTCTTACACTACTACAGACTGCGTCTCGGAAGCCCCTCTAAAGCACGTGTGAAATATTACTTCTGTTGAAAAATAATAACAAAAAACGCCCTGAATTGTCTTAGACTCAAGGCGAATCATTAGTGACTGTTGTTACACTACACACAGAGAGGTCATCGCAAAATCTGCTTGTGGTTTTGGGGTACCATGTACGGAAACATAGCGGACCTATAGTGACGTCGCCGGGTCTCCAGTACTTTGCGTGACGTGTTGATCACTAAAACGATAAGGGAGAAAAAAAAAAGAGCGCCAATTGATTAGCTTGTCAGCTCTTAACAGCTATTGGAACTACCTACTACCTTAGCTGGCTTGAGTAAATATGTCATCTGGCCCGTGCTTAACCAGGACCCCCATTGATTTACCTAAGGTATCAATCGAATGCTACCGAATTGAACGTCGCGCTAGCCCGGTAGGTAGGTCAGAAATTTAGAAGTTTTCGCGTAGCCGGTCGAGCTCCTGCTGCATCATCGAGCCACTCACTGCAACTCACTCACACCTCACTCCCATTCAGAGGAAGGATCAGGAGTTGTTGGACAATTCTCCCGCTTGTTATTCCTTATCGCCTTCTGTAATCTTGTCGCTCGCCCTCGACTCTACATCTACTCCTCCCCGTCCAGACTGTCGATAATCCCATCGTCTACTTCCACCTCAGTCTCCCAACCCGCAAATCCCGATCAAAATGTCAGGTGCTTCCGCCGCCCCGGCACCCATGCCTCCGGGCAGACCCATCGCAGTTCCCGTAGAGTCTTCCACATGGGATCGCATCACCAACTGGGCCGCCGAGAACAAGGCCCTCGTCTACACCATTGCTGGTGTTACCCTCGTAGCCACTGGTGCCGGTGTTGTATACTACCTCAACAGCGATTCCGTACGTACAATCTGCCGCCGCGCCCCCCCACGCAGAGGAAGGGGGGAAAAAAAAACACATCTGCCCAACCCAATGCTACTCGAACCGCCCCCATCTATAAACTACGTATCTAACAGTAAAACCAATCCAGAAGCCCAAGACCACACAACCAAAGATCAGCAAGAAGGAGAAGAGGAAACGGAAAGAGGCCGAGCGCCAGGCAGAGGCCCAAAAGGCCGCTGAGGCTGCTCCCGAGAAGCCCAAGGCCGCAGTCGTGGAATCCGCCGACGAGCTGCCCGAAATCACCGCAGAACTCGCCGCGACTCTCTCCGATGAGAAGCGCAAGGAGTACGCATTACAGCTCAAGAATGCCGGCAACCAGGCCTACGGTAGCAAGGACTACAACAAGGCCATCGGCCTCTACTCTCAGGCTATTCTGTGCAAGCCTGACCCCATCTTCTACTCCAACCGTGCTGCTTGCTACAATGCCTTGAGCGTCTGGGATAACGTCGTTGAGGACACCACTGCCGCCATTAACCTTGACCCCACCTACGTCAAGGCTCTGAACCGACGCGCCAATGCTTACGAGCACCTCGAACAGTACAGCGAGGCTCTCCTGGACTTCACTGCTAGCTGCATCATCGATGAGTTCAAGAACGAGTCCAGCGCTAACTCCGTTGAGCGACTCTTGAAGAAGGTCGCCGAGGTCAAGGCCGACGATATCATCAAGTCCAAGAACCCCAACAAGCTTCCTAGCCCGACCTTTGTCGCCAACTACATCCAGAGCTTCCGCGCCAAGGACCGCCCTGCTGGTTTGGAAGACTCCAACGAGCTGGACCTGAACACCGGAAAGGGACAGCTCCAGGCGGGTCTGAGAGCAATGGAGCGCAAGACGCACGAGGGTTACGAGGAGGCTGCCACTGCCTTTGAGAAGGCATTGGAGCTGGGCGACCTCGGCGAGTTCGAGGCTCTCGCCTACAACATGCGCGGTACCTTTAGATGCCTCAAGGGCAACCAGGAGCAGGCACTGGCCGATATGGATAAGAGCATTGAGATTGACCCGTCGTTGACTCAGAGTTACGTCAAACGTGCAAGCATGCGCCTTGAGAGAGGTAAGACTTTATCCCGCCTAGAACCCATCATTCACCGTGGCATTGCAAGTAGTTACTGACAATACTATCCAGGCGAGCGGGCTGAGGCTGCTGACGATCTTGAGAAGGCCGTTCAACAGAACGACCAGGATCCCGATATCTACTACCACCGCGCGCAACTGCACTTTATCCACGGCGAGTTCCAAGAGGCCGCCAAGGATTACCAAAAGTCCATCGATCTCGATACCACCTTCATCTTCTCTCACATTCAGCTTGGTGTCACCCAGTACAAGATGGGCTCGATAGCGTCCTCCATGGCCACCTTCAGAAGGTGTGTCAAGAACTTTGACAAGGTGCCGGATGTCTACAACTACTACGGTGAGCTGCTGCTCGACCAGGGCAAGTTCGAGGAGGCTATCCAGAAGTTTGATACCGCTATGGAGATGGAGAAGCAAACCAAGCCTATGGCCATGAACGTGCTGCCTCTCATCAACAAGGCTCTCGCTCTGTTCCAACAGAAGCAAGAGTTTACCGAGGCTGAGAAGCTGTGCGAAAAGGCCTTGATTAGTAAGTTGCACATCACGCTATGCCACGATATGACAAACGTTGACCATATTCTAGTTGATCCCGAGTGCGATATTGCTGTTGCCACCATGGCTCAGCTCCTTTTGCAACAAGGAAAGGTCATTGACGCCCTGAAGTACTTTGAGCGTGCTGCCGAGCTGGCCAGAACACCCGGAGAGATTGTCAATGCCTTGTCCTATGCCGAGGCTACACGTACGCAACTCCAAGTCCAAGAGAAGTATCCCCAGCTGGCTGCCAAGCTGTCTGCCGGTATGGGAGGTGGTTTCCCTGGTCGATAGAGGAAACCTGTCAGTTAAAGGCCATGGGGTGTGATATACATTTGACCACTACCCTTCCCTAACGCGGGTTGTATTTTGATATTGGACAAGTCTCGTGCAGATCTTGTCGTGTAAAATGGTGTGTGGTGAGGGTTTTGGATCGTCGCCCAGGTCGAAACCTAAAATGCAGGACATTCTAGAGCGATTGGGGGTTGTAGCAAGGTTGGAATGTGCCTCATGCTGCAAGGCCCTCGAGGTGGTTCTGCGAATCTAGTTGCCAAGCTTGTAGGATGGGTTAATGTGCTGTGCATTCTGGGAGCTGTTGTACTGTACCGGCGTTGGCCTGACTGACTACTGCACTGCGGCTGGGACTCTGCAAAACGAAAAAAATTGGGTCCTCGATTGTACACTTTTTTGATACAGACGTAATATACTCCTCCTCCTTCTTCAGTCAGTAGCCAAATTTGTTACGTAAATATAGTCCCCGAACGTCTTTACCGATATAAGCACATATAAATGCCCGCAGGTGCTTTTATATATATATAACCATACTATCATGTTTCACCACATTTCAAGGCTGTCACGAATTCATCCCAGCCCCAAGGCTTACATGGCCAACACACCCAATAGAGTTTCGCCCAGGGGAGCACAAGTGTGTCCATTTCATCCATACATGGATCAGCAACAAATATTGGCCAAGTTGCAAATTTGAATCAGATCGTTTCCTTCTTATTTACCGACTACGAAATAATGCTTTGAAGAGGTATCATCATCCATCGCTCTTTTGTTGGCCAAAAATAAACAGCAGTATAACAGAAAATGCAATAAGGGCCAATGTTGGCGTCTTTGTGTGCATATAGATCACACCTTTTTTTTTTCTCCCTCCAGGGTGAAAACTTTTACGTCTCTTTAGATTCCGTCTCGAGTTTCAGCGTTGAATCAACTCTGGGAGTGGCTTTCACTTCTCAACCTCGTCCACAGGCGGCGGGTGTGGTCTTTGCCAGGCCTTGGCATCCAAACTCATGCGGCTCATGCGACTGGCCATGCTCGAGCCGGTGCCCTTGCGTGTCCGCGAGGCCTTGGCCCAGCGGTCGCCGTGCTTGCCCGACTTTTGCGAGCCGGCGGCATTGTCGAGCGAGGGGGGTCGGTTTTGAACCTCCTCCTCCTCGAGGCCTAGCACGTCCATGAGCTCGGGGATCTCGACGTGGTCGCGCGTGTTGCGCATGCGGTGGCACCAGGTAATGGTCTTGTCCTCGCTGGGCTCGTCGTGGTGACCGTTGGCGGGACAGTCCTCTTCGTGGAGCAGGCCGCTGTGATCGTGGGCGGCCGCGGCAGCCGTCGTGGTAACGGGATGGTCGTGCGGCGTGGCGATTGGGCTCTCGACGTCCCGCGACGTGGGTTCAAACAGAAACTCGCCGCCGACCTGCTTCTGGTCGCCCATTTGCAATATGAGGCCGCTCTTGACCTGCTTGAGGGCCTGGGTGATGCCCGAGACCACCGTCTGCGCCATGCTGCGGTTCTGCATGTAGGCGGGGCGGTCGCCCGCCGACAGGGTCCGGATCATGCCCAACTCGCGGTACAGGTGCTGTGTGTTGTCGGCGTAGACGGGGTACGGACACCCCGTCTCGCGCAGGTAGGCCGAGATGAGCTTGGGCGAGCCGCAGCCGATGACGGCGATCGAGGTCGACACGGGCAGCTGGAGGAGCCGCTCCGGCGGTATGGCGGCTGAGAGCTGGCGCAGGTATTCTTGGCAGTTCTACAGCAATGTGAGTAAAAGTATTCTCTTGAAAGAGAGGAGAGAGATAGGGGGGAAGAAAAGATCAGAAATCCGAGAAACTCGAGGCCACTTACACCACAGAAAAAGTGTCGAATAAAGATGATCAAGACCCGGCGCGCCACATTGGGACCCGTGTACAAGCTCTTGAACGGGCGCGACTTGCCGCTCTCATCAAGGACGGTGTACTGCTCGAGCTTGCGCAGCGTCTCCGGGGTAGGCAGACTATTGTTGGTCTGCACGTCGCCGTGAAAGTCCAGCGGGTTGGTATCGTCCTGAGAGGGGATAGCCCCTTCAGCAGTGGCGTCGCCGAGGCCCTTGACGCTCTGAATGTCGACGGGAGACGAGGACATGGCGCCCGTTATGGGGGACTTTGTCGTCGTTGTGGGTGATCCATGATTCGATGCTGGCGTCTGGGCGGTTGCCGATGCAGCTGCGGTATCTATCCTCGTCGGCTGCTGCTGTTGTGATTGTCCTTTTGGTGCTTCCGTCTGTTGAGCAGGAGTTGCACCTGCAATCGTAGTAGTATCATGCTCCGTCATCGGGGCTGCTTCCCCTGGAACCGATGTGGCGGGGGACGGATCTACTGTAGCCATATCGTTATGCCAAGTGTGACTGAATTGAGTTTGAGAGTCAAAAGGCTTTTTGCAAGACCTCGTATCCCAGATTTCCAGGCAAGTCTAGTTTGTCGAGTGCCAAAGGGTATTATGGGTTTTTTTTTTCGAGGATTCTTTGCGTTTGTAGCACTCGAAACACGGAGAGGGGTTTGTGATGCTAACTTGAGACCGTACGAACGAAGCGCTGACGGGGAGTGGGATGATGTAATAAAGTACTAGGCAAGGTTGGTAATAAATCAAGGAGACCAAGCTGGGACGTCAAGACGATAGTGGCTAGGTAGGTAGCTGATAGGTATATCAATGGACGCCACCCAAGTAGATAGGAATATATGGAGGGTTCTTTTTTCTCCCCTGCAAATACGAAGTGAGTGGGCAACGGTAGTCAGATACGAGGTCAGACTACAGAGTACCATGTAGTATACATATCCCAAGATGATATCCGGAATCCGTGCAGACACAGGCCCGAGAATACCCTCGTTTCCAACATTCATGAGAGGCAACTACTACAACTCCCTGTGCCAGTGTTTCCTTGGCACACGCAGCAGGCGCGCATTGTGAGCCTGTAAGCTGTCTGGCTTATGCCCGAGCCCCCGCTAGGCCACGCTGTAAGAAAGGGTCTCGAGGGGTCTCGCGGGTTGTCGGGTGGGAATCAGCGGAGCCACGGGGTCCCCTGTAGCGCCGTTGCCAGCTAATACTGAACCGAATTAGCTGGCTGCTGGCACTCTATGGCCCTTCGGGTCTACGTAAAATCAGGTAGACCAGACGGAAGAGGCGGCGTCACCCGCACCGCCGCACTGGAGTTCGATCCTCAGGCTTGAGGTGACTTGATTGCCATTTGGGGCCGCTGACCCCGGGACGGACGCTATTGATTGGCTTTGCGCATCCCCCCAGCATCGGCAGTACAGAGCTCTAGTGTTTGTCGCATACGTACATCTGGCATCAATCTTGTGTTGTCATGACTAAAGCCATCAAATATCCACGTCCTCAACATGGCGATTTTGGTCATTCTCTTTGTTGGCTTCTTGCCTCTTCCCCCTTGCCTACAGCGGGACGAGTCGAAGAGTTTTGCATCTTGGGCCACTTCGTCGTTTCAGTGGTGTATGAAGACATCCGACTTTTATACACGGGCGGATGCCACGCGTCACTTGTACGACTTTGCCTCGATATTCTTTGAGAAAGACGAAGAACCAAAGTTCTGAAGTCTGTAGAGGTTTATTTAGGGCGTGGGATTGATACCTGATCTATTCGGCAATCTGGAATTTCAAAATTCCGTCTTTATACATAGTACCATTTGCATTTATTAGTATCATATCATTCGATCCATAGCAAGTACCTTGATGGCCAATATATAAACCTTGACACATATAAAATACACTATAAAGCCATCAAGTAAACGGCTTTGTATGTTGTTTTAGCTTGGCCACACAAGATCATTTATACCACCAGAATTACACAACAGTTTCTCCCAAGAGGATTCCGTAATCCTTGTTAAGGCTCTAATATTTTTGAGCATTCAATGTTTGCCAGGGCGGTAGTTTCCTTGATACGAAGCTGGCCATCAGGCTTGGATATTGTTATGTTCATCTACCAAGATTCGCAGACCACCAGGCACTTGCACAACAACAAACTCATCAGTCTTGGTACTTGACCCAGCCATCAGTCTTCTCAATTCCGTGATTGTAGATCGAGAATTGTGCGCCTTGGTCTCTACATTGACTCTTCCATAATAGTAATACAAGACCTGATTCAAGTCGTCATTAAACAGTAGTCGACTCATCCGTCGACGCAGCTCCGCAGCACTTCTTATACTTGCGGCTCGAACCGCAGGGCTTGTGAGGTGAATTATGTCAGCTTCATATCCCAACTTTTGCATTTATATAGACTTCATAATGACCGCGGCCGTCAACGGAAAAGATTCCTCCAATACTTGTCGGATTTGCAGAAAGAATAACACGTATTGAAGAAAAAGAAGGAAAGAAAAAAGCACTTACACATTGAGCGTTGCGAGAGATCTTACTCGGCTTGCCGACACCGTCTCTAGAGACGACTTCACCCTCGGGCATACCCAGCACCTCGGCGAGCATGGCGTCGACATGACGCTGGCCATCGGTGCTGCACTTGGGCTTCTCGCAGACGGGCGTGACGAGCACCGCCACCAGGGGCTCCTGGAGGTGCAGGTACGACATGGGCGTGGTCAGCACCGACTTGGTGGGCGCCTTTTCGCACACGGCGCAGACGGGGTTGGACGCCGCGATGCACTCGTCGCTGTGCGCCCGCATCACCGGCAGCACCGCCTGGACGTAGCCGTCGCGGTAATCCGGCGCCATGGCCGCGTTGGGCCCCACGAGAGAGGCGGGCACGTCGTGCTGAAAGGTCAGCGTGCGGTCGCATTGGAAATCGAATCGGACCTTGCGGGTTGCCATGGTCACGTCTTTCTTGTATTTCTTTTCTTCAGATGTCTGTTCTTTCGATGATTAGCCGGATCGAATAACCCTTGGTGCTACGTTCAGATCGTTGTTGGTTCAATATTATCGAGAAGGGTGGCAGGTGACCCACGCGTCCTCTTGAAATCCGTACAGCCCCGAATTCGGAAGCGGGTCAATTATTTATGAGAGAATTGGTCTACTTACCCAACCTAGTTGACGAGCTTTTCGTATCTGTCCTTTCCATCTAAACACGGCGAAAGTGAGAGACTCAAGGTTGGGTGTATATGTTAGCCTCTAGGTTTGGGGGAAAGGCTTTGACGGAGGATCTCCACTGTCCCGCAAAGAGCTCTCCCGTTTATCTTCGTCACGAAGTATCATGAACTGCGCCAACGACTTTACTTTACGAGAGCACGTAATGATGGATCAATAATTAATTCATCAATCATATTGCCTAATACTAGAGTCTGTCATCAACACATTATCATAATCAGGACAAATATATGGCAAACGAGTGTGTATTAATGAGCGTGTGTTGTTACCAATGTCAATCTATCTATCAATGATTTGCGAAATGAAGTATCGCAAGAGCTCTGGGACACGAGCTATTGTCGAGTTGGGTCATGGGCTTTTTCGCCAGCCTCTTCAGAGACTGAGTGCCACATTATGCATAGCTCGGGCACATGCGTCCCTCCGAGCAGCCTGACCACATCTTTTGCGGCTATCCGAACAGATTGAACATCTGTTGTGAACCGGAGACCTCCTCACAAGATCCAGGGCCACAAAACGTCCAAGCAGCGTTTTCAAGGGCGATATCGCTGCCAGGAATCCCCTTGCGGAGTTGTTTACTGACCAACTGGCACTTTGGCGTTCCTTGAGCAAAGCGCCACGTTGTCGTCAGTGGTTGAGCCGGTTTGAGGAGCTGACTGAAGAGCGCAAGGCATGGCCGATCCAAGTTCTGCAGCAAAGACTACAAGAAGTCTGCTGAGATGCCGATGGATGATCTGCACTTCCAAGCCGGAAATGGTGTTGTCAAGACCAAGTTGACTTCATTTTCCGTCGTCCGGATAAGTCATATAGCGGTATTACACAAGATTACGGAACTTGTGTGGTTGAAATGCGCAATCAGTCGAACCCGCCACCAATCTGACTTGCGAAGGCGGTGCTAATGCTCTTCTCGTCGTCGTCAAAACGACGGTTGCCGTATCCATTCGCATAACCTGGGCGGCCAGAGCTCTCGACATACTGCTTAAGACGATCGGACTGTGAGTAGGAAGCAGGTCGCGAGGAACGAAGGGCGTCGTGAAGTCCAGCGCCGAGGCTCGCGCCACCTTGTCCAACGCCTCTGCCACCAATGACAGATGCACTGGCATCCGTGTACTCTGAGGTAGCAACGCTTTCACCGGCCACACTCTCGGCGCCGCGAGCGCCGCGCTTACCTCCCAGACGACCGCCCGGGCCGTTGAACCCAGGCAAACCCGGCCATTGATCGGGGTTGAACGAGGAGAACATTTGTGGGAAGGCAGTATTTCCGAGTCCGGCGCCACCAAGAGTCGAGCTGTGAATGCTTGAAACATCATCGGGGATGTACGACATCATGGATCCCGAGTCGAAGTCTTGAACGGACATGGCAGAATTATGGTGCTGCCCATCACGAGCATAGCCGCCAGAAACATAACCCAATTGGTTTGGACGTTGACGGAAGTTGTTCTTGGGCTTGCTGAATTGCAAAAGAGAGGTCTGCAGGTTGGTGAGTGCACCTTCTACCAAGCACTTTTGCTCCTTGAAGTGAACAAGGAGGTGGTGCCACAGGTCGTGCTTCGAGAGAACCTTGGGGTTGCCAATGATGACAAGACCGTACTTGGCACGAGTAAGAGCAACATTGAGACGACGTGGGTCGGACAAGAAACCAATGCCCTGGTTATCGTTGGAACGCACACACGATAGGACAATGAAATCCTTCTCACGACCCTGGAAAGCGTCGACAGATGCAACTTCAACCTCCTTGTAGGAATCCTTCTTGAAGGTGCCCGTGTTCTGCATGACATTGACAATGTAGCTCCGTTGTCCCTCGTACGGCGTAATGACACCAATATCTGCAGGACGCACTCCGGCTTTGAAGAACCGGGTGACAATCTTTTCGACATTGGTAGCCTCCGTTCGGTTAAGGTATGATGTTCCAGAGGCTGAGATTTCTTCGTTGCCGAGGTTGGACCAAAACATCATTGGCATTTCTGCGACTGGCCAAGGGAAATCAACGTCCTTACGGATTCGGCTAGGGGCAGAGACACCATTCTGGAGGGAGCCGTCATAGAACATGTTGGAGGGAAACTGGGATAGACAGGGATGCATTCGATACTGAATGTTCAGACGTATTGGCGTAAGGCCAAGGCGAACGAGACGCTCAAAGAGCGACTGGTTGAGACCGGCCTTGGCAGCTTTCTTGTTCATAATAACGGGGCCCAGCTGCTTGTGGTCACCCACGAGGACAACCTGCTTGCAGCCTAGAATCAATGGGATCATGCACTCTGGCTCGGCAGACTGGGTAGATTCGTCGATCAAGACGTTGCGAAACTTCATCTTTGCGAGGCGTGGGTCACCAGCACCAACACAAGTGCAACAAACGACATCAGCATTGCCGAGAATCTCACGTTCAGCAGCGCGAGTAAGCTGCTTGAACTTCTTCTCATCGTTGCTTCCCAATTCACCGACTTCTGACTTCAGCTGCATGAGTTTGACCAACTCTGGGTTGCTGTCAAGCATTCGGACTTGCTCATGAAGTGCAAGGAAGCTCACGGAAGACTCGACATCCTCGCGAGATTTAGCTGTGAGACGCACAACTTTAAGTCCGGTCAGATTGATTCGTTCGCAAAGCTGATCGACGGCAACGTTCGACGGGGCGCAGACGAGAACCTGGCTGCTGTTCATTTTAGCTAGATGATAGATGATTGTAGCCGATGTGACAGTCTTGCCCGTTCCGGGAGGTCCCTGGATCAGACTCAGAGGGTTCGACAAGACACTCTTGATAGCGCTAATCTGGCTGCCGTTGAGTTCTGGCAGTCCTGGAACGCTGAACTTTTTGGGAAGTTGAGTCTTTGACGGAGCAACGGCAACCTCGTGACCAAGCAACTTGTGGAAAATGTATCCCGATACGCTCATCTCATCAACCGCAAACTGCTTCATGGCAGCCTGCATGCGGTCATAGGAGGTCGCCTTCCAGACATAATCCGCAGAGAAATTGTGAGTGCATTCAGTCGGCACACTCTTGTCGTTGCCGGTCTTGCGCAGTTCCAGAGTGACTTCGTCAGATTGGTTGTTGGGGATCTTGATCACATAGCCAACACCCTCCCAAGGCGCACGAAGCTCGCCCTTGTACTTGAGTCGCATTTCATCGCCGACAGCGAGCTTGACATCGCCAGACTCGAGTTTGGGGAACGTAAAGCTAGCAAGATGCTTGTCATTAAGACCCTTGTCCCATCGAACGACCAGACCGTCTTCGGACTGCGCCTCCTTCAGCTTTCTGTCATAGTCCGATTCCATCTTGACTAGGGGGCCAAAGATATTCTGGTACTGGTAAGGGTCTTCGTACTTGAGCAAGACCGGGGCGGGATCGTCATCGATACTGGCTGCCTTTTCGAGATCGTGGATTGTGGCTGAAGCATTATCCTTCCACATCTCCTCCAATCTAGCGATCATGGGTGCACTCAAGTGGCGTGCGCGGAGCTGTTCGTGATCGGATGGAGGAGTGACAAGCCAAGGCAAAAAGGCCCGGTCCTCGAGAAGGGGTTGCCAACGCGAAATGTCCCAGCTCATATCCTTTGTGGAGGTCGAAGCGGCACAGGGCTGTCGGCAAAGTAGAACAACGACCGTGTCGGACTTGGCAGGAATAAAACCGAGAAGGAAGACATTCTTGGTACCGCAGTTGTAGCATTCGAGAATAGTGTCGCCGAGGGTGGACTCGGGGTGAAGCTGAACCTCCTTGTGTCGAGCGCGGACGAGATGGTTAACAATATGAGAGGAGCTGGCGGTGCCGCGAGCACTGCAGAACCACTTATTGCACGCAAGACACTTGACAACTGAGGCAGGCGAGTGGATTCCGCAATAACTGTAAGAAAAAGTTAGCTAGGCATCTGGGCGCAAAGGTTGATAGCCCATGTGGACTTACGCGCAGGCATGAGCGGGCAACTTCTTTTCCTCGTCGGGTGTAGCCCTGGTGATGGCGAGATCCTTCATGGCGCCGATAGGCATGCTCGCCATGCTTATCTCATCATCATCAAACGCAGCTTCGGTACCATTGTCATCATCGTCGCGGCGTCTGGCGTTGCCAAGGCCTCCTAGACCTTTGCGACCCGCAAACTTGGTACCATACAATAAACTCTCATCGTGGTCGAGTGCGGAAAGATCGTCGTCACCGGCATTGATGGCGGCAGCAGAGTCGGAGATCAGGTGGTTGCCGACGTGAGTGAAGGCGCCCTCCATAGCGGTGGAGGGAACTGTGTGAAAAGTTGAGACAGGAACGTGGTTGCTGTTGTGTGTCAGCAGTGGTCAGCCAGCGCCAGCAGTCTTTGGATATATGTAATGTAGGTAGAGGGGCAAAAACGAGGACCTTGTGGTCAGGGCGCGGGACAAGGTGATAATCGACGTTGGAATTGTAGGTCTGAAAAGTCAAATTGGGGAGTGAACACCCAAAAGCACAAGGCGGAAGGGAAGGATGAAGAAAGCGACTGTACCTTCAGGTATGAAGCAGAGAATCGTGGACGGCCTCTGTGAAAGCCTAACTGGGCGGCTTCAAGGGATCCAATGTTTGGGTGACTGTGGGGAGAGAGACAAGAGATGGACGGATCACATCGCTGGACGTCTTGCGTGCGGAAGGGAGTGTCGACACCTAGGGCGGTCCCATGCGATCCTGACCTGCTCGCCGTACGTTCGGCAGGAAATCTTGTCGTCGATGAGGCTCTGGTGGTTTGGGGGGATCAGTCAAAATCAAATGCGATTCGGCTGATTGTTAGGTGCGTCGATGGAGGAATGGAAGCGAACAAACCTTAGTGGGCTGCAGGTGCTAATAGTGGGTCTGGGTACAAAGCCGCAGCTGCGTTCACTACACCTTTGGCCCTTGAAAAGCCGCCTGATAAGCAGCGATAGCACGGACTCCGGGCACCCCCATTTGCTGGATCTGCTAGGAACCCAAGCATTGGCGACCAATCCCTGCTAAGCTTTTTTTCTGCTTCGATAATTTTTGGCGGGGCTCGTTTTTTATATTCAAGACCTTTGCTTCTACCATACTACAAAGTCCAACATCGAGTACCGTTCTTGATATTCTTGTCACCTGTGCCAATACAACGCTAACCCCCAGCTATACCAGTACACCTACTTTCGAATTCAGTTGTTTTTGCGCAGGGCATCATTCCGTCATGATTGTAGGTTTTGGCCGGCAGTTTGTTGTTTGATTGCGTGTGCTGACATTTTGTTATTTCAGCGCAAACAAGCCCGCCAGAGGCGCGATTACCTCTACAGGAGGGCTATGACCCTTCGCGACGCCGAGATTAGTGAAAAGAGAGCAAAGCTTAGGGCATCCCTGGCCACGGGAAAGCCCTTAGATTCCTCCATTGCCAACGACAAGGAACTGCGCAAAGACTACGCCTACGACGAATCGCGTCCCGATCGCACTGTCAATGAAGAGCTTGACCTCGACGACGAATATTCCCAACTCTCTGGAATCGTTGATCCAAGAGTCCTTGTCACCACCAGTAGAGATCCGTCTGCAAGATTGGCCGCTTTTGCCAAAGAAGTTCGATTACTTTTGCCCACTGCCATTCGCCTCAACCGTGGCAACCTCATCCTGCCGGACTTGACAAGATCTGCTCAGGCCGCTGGTCTGTCTGATGTGGTGCTGCTACATGAACATGTAAGTTTCGTTGCGATCGGACAGCCTTGCATGAATCTAGACTGACCATGATCAAGCGTGGTACGCCGACCGCAATGAGCATATCTCACTTTCCTCATGGACCGACCATCAGCTTCTCTTTACACAATGTTGTTCTGCGGCACGACATACCAAACTCTATCCGCGGTACTGTTTCCGAGTCGTATCCTCATCTGATATTTGAGGGCTTCAACTCGAATCTAGGAAAGAGGGTCGTGAAGATTCTCAAACACATCTTCCCTCCCCGGGATCCCCTGACAAGCAAGAACAAGATTGGCTCCCGCGTGATCACCTTTCAAAACATCGACGACACCATCGAGGTTCGGCATCACGTATTTGTTCGCACCGGTCATGATAGTGTTGAGCTGTCTGAAGTCGGCCCTCGGATGTCAATGCGAGTTTTCGAGATCAGGAGCGGCACTCTGGAGAACAAGGATGGTGACGTCGAATGGCATTTGACCCAGTATACACGTACTGGTCGGAAGAAGGAATATCTTTAAGCCTTGCGCCAACAAGTGTCGATTGGCACGATTATTAATGCCAGTCGCGTGTTCATAGAAACACGTGGCTAACAAGAGACTGCTGAATCTCGTGGCGTATCCAGGCATACCGCCATATCAGGTCATATAACATCTGAAGCGTGGTGCCCAAACTTGAGCTCATATACCTGGCAATAATGCTATCAAGAGCCTCGACAAGCACATATTCCAACAAGATGAGATTCATCTTGCGGCAAGCCCTGCCGGAATGAGAAACGGTGCTTATGTGAGGCCCCATCATGAAAGAAAGATTCGGTCGGATTTGCCGGATTATACAGTCTTATCAGGTCTACTCCTCACATTTCGATAAAATCCGATAAGATTCATCGCTCATGACGCCTCGAGCGATATAAAAGTGCAGTCTGGAACGATGTAGAATTACTGCGAATAGCGATAGCGCCAATGTCGCACAGCTGGGTCTATTCTCCAAGAGATTCGCGACAATGGGATGTTTGGAATGTTCATAAACTGAGACGGAGAGAAAGAAGAGTGTTCAAGATGACTCCTGTTTCCAAGATTGACTTACACATGGTTGCAATCATGATGCGGGCTGCAGCGCTGTCCCAGATAGTGTTGTGCGTTATGCTTCTTATCATGTATGTAGTCTTAGACTAGCGAGAACAAGTCAATAGAAAATCAGGATGATTTCATTACCGACAGCCTGGTCAGGCAACCGCTGTAACAATGGTTGGTATGAGACTTTTTTTCTCCCTTGAACATTTTCGGCGCATTAAAGCAGACTGGGTCAAGAGCGATGACAAGTTGCTGTACGCAGTAACCTTTCTGGAGGTTAGCTAGTGCCATGGATTCACCCAAAGACATACTATCTGTGTACTGGTGCAAGTTGAATAGAACCACACGGTCCGGAATATAGGCCGATATAGTAAAGTCCTACGGCAACTTGGACACGCAATATGTTTCCGCTGATGATTGACGGACCGTTTATTGTCAGGCTTGTCAGGGTCTGGGGAACTACCTAAAGTTAGTAAAGCTTGCCCAATTCTCTAGGATGCCAAGCAATCAAGCAGCCCACAGCCACGAAAACGACAGACGTATGAACCATGGGATAGGCCGCCCCTGGGCAGGCTGTGCTTATTTTTGGCTCATGGTTGCCGCTTACAATCCCAGGTAGGGGGCGGATCAGCACGATAGAATTTTTTGGTCCTTCTCCTTGTCTTGTGCCTCTTGTTGGTTTTCCCGGCGGCAATCCCAAGCCCACACCGTATCTTTTACCTCCTTATGCGTTTGCCTGGAGCCCGCTCACTGCCCCGCCGCCTCTATCTACACATGGTACATGGTGTCGAATAATAAAACATGACATGACGCTACAGAGCTGAGAGTACACTGTGTTGACCTGCAAGCAGCCCTGCGGCGTAGTGTGTACCTACATTAGCCACCTGACGACGATCCGTAGGAAGCTCACGAAGACCCGCAGCTCTGATCAAGCAAAGAGACAGTGTGTGGGAAGGAGAGAGCTATTCTGCGGCCTGGCCGTCAACACCTTGCCAGGCTCTGGTTGTAGGGTATCCAATATCAGCAGCAGCTTTCTGTCAGTGCTGTACTACTATGCGTAAACCCACGTACAACTTGCATTGCACTAGTGTCTTGCCATGGCATTTTGAGCCACGCCGGGTACACATAGAGCGACCGGCGCTGTGCCAAAGACGAAAACGAAGGACCTTAAGTAAACGACATTGCCGCGCCTCAGCCCATTTCTCTCGCTCACAGTGCTCACTACCTCCATCCATTCCAACAGGCTGCAGCATATGCAACATTGAGCATTCCCGACCATTCCGTCGTGGTGGCCTTAAAATTGTAACCCCCCCAACATCATCATCACCACTACCAACCACTACTTCTTTTCTCCATTGATTAATTGCTTTTGCATCAAGATACATACCATCTTGACCACAATCGGTTGCTGGGCGTATTATCTCCGGTCGGCAAAAAAAGGGAAATAAAAAGAAAAACAAGTTTCAAGCCAAGTGCCTGTCGCATTGCATCCTATTCCTCGTTAAGACGAGACGTCATTTCCCATTTTGCCCCAGCACGAGCCAGTGAGAGCGAGAGCCAGGAAGCAGGCAAAGCTCAGGGCAAGTCGCCAAGCCAAGTCAGCAAGCAACTGCCTCACTCAGAAATCAGCTGCTTTTCTCAATTGTGATCATCCCAACATCTCCATTTTCCTTTCGTTCGCAACGCACGCACAGGCATTCGACCCTGCCTACAAACACGGTCTATTTTCCCCAAACCAGCGCCTGTCCAACGACCGCATCAAAACTGCGACCGCAAAAGAAAAAAAATACAACGGCAGAGATAGTATTATCGTCAAGGCATCATCATGTCTTACAATCAATACCAGAGCAACCCGTACGGGTCCGCCGACCAAGGTTATGGGGGTCAAGTAAGCAGCGCTCCGCCATTCAATCAATCCAATCAATCACTCGACCCATTCTGCGCAACCAGCGGACCAAAACGAACAGATTTGTGTCGCGAGATCGTCAAGCGACGCCTACAATTGTTGCCATGGAGTCGCGCAGGGATAGAAAAAAATTCCAAATCAAACAAAAACAACAGACATTTCAATATACGTGCAAGACCGTGAGCTGATTATCTCTTCGCTTGCAGGAACATGAGCTGCAATCATACCCCCAGCAACCACATGGCGCTGTTACTCTTACGCAACAAGATTTCCTGCAGCGGATTAGTCACCTGCGCGAACAGATTGGCACCTTGACTACCAATGTTCAGGCCATTGCATCCCTTCACCAGCGCGCCCTCGCCGAGTCGGACGGCGGATTGTCGGCTCAGCAGCTCGAGCGCGTCGTCGCCGAGACCCAGACCTTGAACGGCGGCATTCGCGACCAGTTGAAGTTCCTCGCTACCGATGCAAGCCGCACTACCGACGGCAGCAAGGGGCTCAAGGAGCAGCAAGTCGCCACTCTCAAGAACAACTTTGAGCGTGAGCTTCGCGCCTACCAGCAGGAGGAGAGCCAGTACCGCCAGCGTTATCGCGACCAGATTGCCCGTCAGTATCGTATTGTGAACCCTGATGCTTCTGAGGACGAGGTGCGCCAGGCCACTGAAGCCGATTGGGGCAATGAGGGAGTCTTCCAGACCGCTGTAGGTATTCTGTATTCATTCATGGAGAATAGGAAAGCTAATCTTGCATCTAGCTGCGCACCAACCGTACCGGACAGGCTACTTCCGTCCTGGGCAATGTTCGTGCCCGCCACAACGAGCTCCAGCGCATCGAGCAGACCTTGATTGAGCTTGCCAGCATGTTCCAAGACCTTGCCGTGCTTGTTGAGCAGCAAGAGGTAGCTGTCCAGGCCGCCGAGAACAATGCCGAGAACACCCAGAAGTGGACCGAGGAGGGTAACGTGCACGTCGGCAAGGGCATCAAGAGCGCTCGCAACCGAAGAAAGCTCAAGTGGTGGTGCCTGCTTGTCACTATTCTCATCATTATTATTGTCGTGGCTGTTGCCGCAGGTACGTATTCCTCGTCTATGAGTGCTTCTCTACTCGTAGCTAATTACACATTCAGGTGTCGTCTGCACACAACCCGGCAATTGCGGTCACAAATAAATCTGGGAGCACATTGAGGCGTCGTCTACATTTTTATATTATACCCAAACGACGCCGGCAACATAACTTTCCGCTCGCGGCGGAACCGCGGCAAGCAGCATTGAGAAAGGGACGTCATCCTTTCATGGCATTGGATTCAAAAAAATCATCAGTACTAAACTCACACTTAATCTCTGGCCTTATCCGTCCCAATGGTGCTGGGGCGGAAGGAGCCTTTATAATGCATTCTTGTTCATTTATACGATAGCACCACGATTATTAAGAACTTCGGGCATGAAATTTGGATTCGACACAGGACACGTCTGAGGATGTTGGAGGGTACACGATCGAAGGGCTGTACGTAGCAAAATTCAGCGTCGTTCGTCCATAAAGTCTTATCCTTTCGAAAGTCTCCGCTTGCGTTGACATGCCAGTCGTAACTCGTAAACTGTTGTCTGCATTGCAGCAACATGATCTCTTGGTTTTTCCTAAGAAAAAGCGAGATGACGTATCCTCGTTTCTAATCATTCACTGACCAATTCGAATTGATGCTGCAGTCTGATAGGTAGCCCAGCACCATCACTAGGATCTGAGAAAACGAGCAGAACTCAGACTGCCTCGACTTCAAAATCTCGAAACCCGACAAGAAGTGCATCGTCCGCGGCCCGACCCTCGGGGTCCGGCCGCGCAGCAAACGCTCCAACCCAAGCTACCGGACCCCCCGCCCTCCCGCCGGCATTCTCGGGCAAGACCCGTTCTTCACCGTCCAGGAAGACCCAGGGAACCTTGCGCAACAGCACCGGCTGGCCCGCCTCATCGATATAGTGGACAAGCAGCGCATTACCCTTGCGCACGAGCTCGACGGCCGCGCCGACCTCGAAGCCCAGCTGGCCGGAGTTGGACGAGGAAAAGGGCGCATCGCCGGCGGCGCTCGGCCGCAGCACGTGCAGAGACCAGTCGCACCAGGCGCCGCCCGGAGCCCGGACGACTACGCTCAGGTATACGGCGCCGTCCTTGGCCTCGAGGCCGGCCTTGATCCAAGACGTTGACCTGTCTACATGCTTGGCGTCGGCTGGTGGGGAGGATCCATGCTGTCGTCCTTGTTGTTGTTGTTCGTTTTCGCCACTGCTGCTGCTGCTGCTGCTGCCGCCGTCTTGTGCTCCCGAAAGGACCATGACTAGCCCGGCATGGTCGTATTGCTGTGTGGGCGTGTAGACCAAGGAGATGCGGGCGCGGCGAAACGCCGACAGCGCCAGGGGCGGGTGGTATGACACGGGCGCTGTGAAAACATGACGCGGCTTGGGCAGTGGCGAGGCGTGGATGTCTGATTTCGAGGCGGCTGAAATGTAAAAGGATCTGGGGTCGAACTGGGCCGAGGCAGGGGGAGGAGGTTGATTGACGTGGGTATATTGTGCTGGATCCGCCATGGTGTTTCTTTCTTCTTCACTATGGGACGGAAGATTAGTATGGCTCGGTTAACTTATAAAAATCATCTGCTAGGTGTTATCGAGATAGATTGCATAACAAGAAGTAAAAAGAGAAGGCAAGAATTGGGAATGACATGTATACGGTCGATTGTAGAAATCACAGCAACAGCCCACCAGGGCCTTGTACTCGGCTGGGCCAGCGAGGCACATAGGTACACCTTGGGGCGAGATGCGTCCTGATGGATCTTTCTTATACTGATGAAGCGAAGATCTGCCACGTTTGTGTCGTAGGAGGCTTTCCAAGACAAAAGATGCGGGGGCGGCTTTGCTACGTTAGTCTATCTCATTGATCGCTAATGCATAATGGCGACGCCAAGCTGTGTCTATTGCGTCTGGCATCTTCTGTACCTTTGGTGTATAAGGGGATTTGTAATATACTCGTCAAGTGATGCGTTGATCAAGCTATAGACATGCTTGCGACTCTGCTTTACCAATATAGTATAGCTCATCGTAAGTTATCAAGCTTCCTCCAAAATAATGCTGGACTGACAACAAAGTAGCAATAGAGAAGAATAGCATCAGGGAAATTTGAATATTTATGCTGACATTTATATCGTAATATGTTCTATCCATAGGTATCATTAAAGCCTCAATGAAAGTCCCGTATCGCATCAGGAAAACTCCTTATCATGCCCTGTAATGCTACCTTGCCTGTGCCGACCATTGTCCATCCAGTGTACGCCATGAGGGGTCAAATTTCTCTTTGTAAAGATGACCAAAAGGCCTCTGTAATTCAAACGTTTCATTTTCCATAGACAATCATTCAAGTAACATGGCATCTTCGTCGAGTCGTCCAAATAGAGCCTCAACCTCGTTCTCGACCACCTTGAGCTCCTTTGCAACCTGGCCCGTAACGAGTGCATACGCATAGAGGAGCGCATAGTCCGGCTCTTCAATGACGATGTTTCCAAGTTTCGGCACCTTACCCATGGCGCCTACCATAAAGCTCGAGTCGCCGACGTTGGCGGTTTGACTTTGCACCGACCTGGCTTCCACTTGTTCCCATTCCGCATTGTGCTCTTTTCGGAATCGGAATATTTTGCCCAGAAGCCTGTCCCTTGTGCCAAGAACACTGGGTATAGCATCCGTTAGAGGATATTCCAGCATGATGCTACTGGCCAGCACCTGAAAGACGTGACAGATGCGAGCGCATATCTCTGCACGTTCGTGAGCAGTGTGGTAAAGCAAGGCCTTCTCTCCTTCACTCAGTCGCCCATGCTTCTGTGTAACTAGACTCATGGCATGAAACGCGTCCAGGAGACGTTGTGTCGAGGCCATGATACGGCCATATGCTTGGCTGGGGAATGGGCCCCGAAGCTCATATTCGTTACTCGCCGCGTTGCGGAGAGTCTGAAGCTGATTGGCGTATCGCTGCATTGCAGCTTGCTCGCCCACCTTCATGTAACTGTCGGTGGCATCGCTCCGGAGTAAGATGGCAAGAGGTCCTCGCTTCCATATCAGGCCCATCTGCAAGTACAAGACGCAGATGCCTTCCTTGAACTTGTGACGTGCGGACACTGGCCAGATCACGCGACAAACGATCAGACCCCAGAGGATACCGAGAGACACTGCGATGACTCTATGATACACAATCGTCTGAATGACGGGGTGGAGGCCTCCTTCGTCGTCGTCATCGTCTTCGACCTTCTGACTGAGCGAATACGCGTAAAGCGAAGAAACATTGTATGTCAAAAGAATAAAACGACCAAAAGGCGCATTTCCTCGATCGATTGTGATATAGAACGCGAGGAAAGATACTGCCCAGCCAAATATCGCAAGAGGAATGGCATCCCCATCGGATAACCACCAAGCAATGATCACAAAGGCGGCGCCCATAAGCGTTCCAACGAAACGAGCAAAGCCAGTGGTATTGGCGGCACCCACGGTCATACTGCACACAATCATAAAGGACAGAAGACCCCATTCACCACGCCAATGCTGATATATGGGTCTGGTCTCTGGAATGAACGCAAACATTGCATAAAGAGTAGCTCCTATGCCGACTTTTAGGCCAAAACGGACTGATCACAGAGTTAGTCAAGAAGCTGAGCGATAGCAAGGGCACAAAACATACTATCTTCCCGAGAGAGGAACCGAAAGAAACGCAAAAGGTGCTGAAATGTCCATTTTTGGACAACGTTGGTGCTTGGCTCGGCATTCCACAGAAAGGTGTCTCTGGGTTTGGTCATGTTCTGAGGGATGCCTCGCGGCATCTTAGACCGCCGCAGAGGTTTGATCAAATTGGCTTCTTCAGGATCCGGGACGCGGGTTTTGAACAAGGACCCAATGTACCTCCAAAACTTGAGGAAATTCCAGGTTTTCTTATCCATCTCAGTGACCCATTTCAGATCATCCAGTGCATCGAGATACTTCTGCATTTCGTCCGCCAGACTAAGGAGAGTAAAGGAGAAGTGCCCACACGCAGCCGCCACCTCTTCGTAATCGGCTTGGATATTCTCTGGTCTGGACTTCTCGAGCTCTATAGTCTTGTACAGTTCTTCCAATGCCTTGCCTCTTTGTGAATTGTACAAAGATATGGCATCTGACACACTCTGCTTGAAGTTTTCATTCACCGTGATCGGGGCACCTGGGGCGCCAAAGGGAGGATCCCGCAAGATCTCAGACAGGGTGTGAACTAATGATTTCAATGATGGCCCAAGGCGATGAATGAACACCTCGAAGATATCAGATGGAGTTCGGGTCGACCCTGGGGTCATGAGTCTGCGTTCCGTAAAGTAGGACGACTCACTGAACGTTGAGCCTTCCCTGTCACCACGCTCATCAACTGCTTCGTCAATGGCTGACAAGACAGCGAACCTTGATCCGCTTTTGAGCTGATGGGAGGACGCTTTGCCAAATGCCGGCGCGAAAGTGTCAGTGCCTGGAGAGAGAGGCTGGTCAGAAAAGCCGCCCGCTTTTTCTTTCAAAAGCTCGAATTGGGTGTTGGCTGCGCTTCGAAGCCCGCCGAGAGACTGTGACAGTGCCTCCATGCAGCGAACGACAGCCTTGTCCTGCTTGTAAATCTGCTCTCGGCCCAACATGTAATATTCATATTTGGACTCCCTCAGGTTTTTGTTCATAGCGGTCAAGTTGCTGGTAAAACTTGAGGACGTTTTGGTGAACCCCTTCGAGTTCATGTCCTCTTCAGCACCACTAAGAAATCCCTTTGCGATCATCGAAAGCATCTCGCCAAGAGTGGTGGAGGCTGTGCGCATTGTATTTCTTAGGGCGCCCCGTGCCGAGACGGGCCATAGGAGCAAGTTGACGGCTGTTGTTGTGGTCGTGGCAATCAGTAGGATCTTGAGGGACTGGATGATTTTCTGGTTGGTAAAAACACCAGTATGGACCGAGTTTTCCTTGGTGATAATAGTGATGATGCCAATGGACGCTATACTGGCTCCAACACTGACAAGAGGGTTATTCAGCTTTTGCTTAACCCAGCCGATAAAGCCCAAGCCACCACCGATGAAAAAGATGAGGATGAGGGCATATGACAGCTTCACCTGATCCCAGACCGAGCCGACAAGAACCGATGTAGCCATGGACAAGGTGCCAATGAACATAGCATACAGCACGGCAACGATGGCAATGGCTGCAGCCTCCACCTGCGAGCCGGCACTTCTGGCAGGATGAAAGTAGACGGCGATCGTGGCAACAATGTGCTTGCCGTCCATGGGGCCGAGAAGGGCGGCGAAGGGCGCATAGAAGGTCCAGAGGCTGGCGAGCAGGTATGCGACGGAGCATTTTATCGTCCCTCTTCCCTTGGGAGACTTTAACCATAACCAGACATTATTCAAAGCGACGAGGCTGTTGTGCAGCGCCGCCTGTACCTTCTCTTTGACAGTCTCCTGCTCGACAATCGAATGCATTTCGAGATCGGCATCGCTGCCGTAGCTGTTTTGTCGTAAGGTGAACTGGCGGCGCGACCGCTCACCGGTGCCTGGTATGATCCAGGTGCCATTCCGCAGTTTCTGTCGACGCGGCATCTCTTGTTAGCTTGGAGGCATCGAAGAATGCATTGGCGGTAAAGAAGTTGTAAACAAGAAGGGGACAGAAAATTTTTCTAAGAAACAAAACAAACGTGGAGGATTCGATACACGTACACTACGGGCTGGCGGTCGCCCAGGTCGTGGCACAGTTGGCGACGAGCTCGAGGCTCCGCTGCCGTTAGCGTTGCTCATGGTTCGTCCTGGGCATCGGCCCAACGCTGGGTAGGTATCTCGTGGTTCAACACCGCTCCGCTTGGCCCAGCCCGACCTTGCCGAAAATCCTCTTTCAAGCTTCAGAGCTGGTTGGGTTGGTTTTCATGATTGGCAGAGACGAGACGAGGCTGTGTACGACCAGTAAGGAAAAGAGGAAACAAGCTACATGAAATAATGGTACGCGACTGGCTAGGTAGACGACAACAACAATAATACGGAGGACGCTGAAGACGGCAACGTAGGTACGGATATTGTAGGTTCGCCGCGAGCTTCTACCTCATTCGAAAGTCGCAAAGGGCGGGATGTGAAATTGTTGGACCCCTAGTTTGGGCATATGGGCGGAAAGCCGGAGTAGATGACCAGACGTAATACAAGAACGTCAATGTACAGGCAGGTGCTGTCTCAAACTCCATCATCTGAGCACTGGAGCGCTTGATCGCCAAGTCATTTTATGGTGTAGGGATTTTAGCAGTAGGCAGCTTTAGCATGCCGGAGCGATGCCGCTGGCTGCTGTCTAGTGTCCACAGGTGGGTTGATCACGCGTCATCCCGCAGAAAAGCTCGCAGAATGTGGTCAAGCGCCGCCAACTAGGTACTCTGTGTAGGCGGTACCTAATGTAGCAAAGACCTGGATTTCAATTGCACACTTTCAACACCTGACTGCGACTGTTGGTAGCACGAACTGTATGGAAACATGAACCCAAGATCCATGCATTTTATGGATAAATATCGAAACCCAAGGAGTTCACAAACCTGGATACTAACTGGAAGATGTCTGCACTGGCCTGTAGCTCTCAGGTGAGCTTTGGATTAGTTCAACGCTACAGCAAGCTTGGTATTGATCCATGTTGAGCAGATCCCCTACCTTAGTCGCGAGCTTATCGCATTAAGCGCCTGTCACATAAGTAAAGTACTGACTGACCTAACCTAGGTGGTGCCTCGCTACATTGTACCTAACCTTGTCACCAACCTCCCGTGTTCCCCTTTCACACCAGATTGAGGCTTATCCAATGTAGTGTATTATATATCAAAAACGACAACGTACACACGCCCCACGACCTTCACCCTCGCCCTCACGGAGCATACATGTAGTCTATTTCTCCCTGCTCTCAACCACTTTCACAATACAAGGACAATGGCAAACCTGCCGGCCCAACATCCGAGCCTCGCTCTCCACCTCGTGGATCGTTCCCTCACGCCACTGATCACATCTGCTCAGAACCAGCAACAAGCACAGACTTTGGTAGGCTTGTCACAAACAGCTTTAGGAGCTCACGAGACAGCACAACGCCTGGGCCTGGGGCTTCCCCAGCGGATAATGGTCGAACATGCATCTAATGGACCCATCTTGCTCCAATCATTTCTGAACCCTGGTTCAGCGCAGCCGGCCCCGGAGGGACAGAGCTCTGTCAATGGCCAGAGGACGAGGGGCACAACTGCCCAAGATTCCACTGGTCATGATCAATTTTCTACTCTGCTCGCCGAATCTGAAGCAACTGAGGCAGAGGACGTCAATGCACCACCGCTGCTGATAAGTACCGTCATTGCCCCAACCTCAGACGCTGTATTGGAGTCGAGACGAGCAGCCGCACGTCTAGAGCGAGTGGGTAGAGAGGTCCAAACAAAATGGGCCGAGTTACAGAATCCAGACGGCCTTGACGGCAAGTAGAACGGCTGCATTGTCGGACATTGCCTTATGAGTGTTCGAGCATCACTGTAGGTTGATATTGATGGCTTCACTGTTGTAAATCGTCGAGCAATCATTTTAGCCTGTCTGTGAAACTGGACAAAAATACTGGCAAACCCCGGAAAAGCTTTACAGAGGAGAAAACGCAAGGCCATGTTATCATCAACCTGGCTATAGCAGTAGGCGCCGTACTTGGTTTGAGAGAGTTCATGCGGGCGCCGTTTCCGGAGAGGCCTGGACTCAACTAAACCTAGAGGCCGCGGAAACATGTCGGTCCTCGTAGAAACCCGGACGGGTTGTTGTTTATAAGGCCATTACAGCGGCGCCATCGTGGAGTGGTGGCTGGAATTCCACTGTTTGTTAGAGTTTGAGTTTCAATCAAGTTTTGGACGGCGAATCACTCAACCCCGGGGCTGGACATGAATAAAGAAAATCGCCATTCACGGTGACAATAACACATGAAGCTGCTGCCACTGTGCGTTCAAACCATCACTGCAGAGGGGGTCCTTTCAAGGCGCATTCGCCACCAAGTGAGCTCTTGCTGCCATGGATGGTGCCGGAAATGTAGAATATTACTATATACATACTACATATTTCTCAAGTCAGCTCTTTAAACGATTCATGCCTTTCGATGGTATGATTGACTCTAATGGAATTTAGCGGATGAGTCGAGATCACGCTTCTCGCGTCGTCCCGCCCAGACTCAAGCGTCATGTGCGATACGGTAGTATCGATTCCTATCACTGTAAACGGGTTTTTTCGCCACCTTCTGGAGCGGAGAGAACTTGAAGCACCAGGCACGCTGTAATTTCCCGATTTCCAAGAGTCCCTATTGTTGCGCCTGCCAAAATACCGGTTCAGCACGCTCTTGGTCGCGAGAAGTGGCTCGTATACTGGCAGGTTTGCGCAGACGATGCTGGATGCCACCGACACCGTGGACCATATCCTGGACAGAAGCAAATAATCTACAGACATCATGTTAGAGTAGTTCTTGAGCCCAAATCTTCCTACATACCTCGAGGATCGTTGCGATTGAATAAACATTTTATCCTCACTGCGGAGGTCATAAGGACCCTGTAATAATGTCAATCATCAGATTCTTCTCCTCGACCTATGGGTCACGTGTGGGTATGCTACTTACCAGAATCCAAACACAAATATTAGGCAGACTGATAATTTGTGTGGTCCATGAACTCTTAAACCTTTGGCAACTCGGAATGCCAAGTACATGATGGCAAGATTGCAGACTATGCTGCCCATTTCGTATCCGAGAGCAAACATGACAATATCGATGCACTTGGGGGGAGATTCAATCGGGCTCCAGGTGACGAGAATTGGCGAGCAGTGGAATAACGTGACGAGCACCGACGAGATATACCATGCAACACATAGACCAAGTATTGCAGATCTCCAGAACTTCAACTCCCTCGCCGCCAAACTCCGCCAGCATAAACACACGAGAGATGCCTTGGCGCCAACGTGGGCGGTTTCGAACATGACCATTGCAACATACTCGAGCTACTATTGATCAGTATCTCTGGCCAAGAAACATATCGGTCCCTTTCGAATCGTGACTTACCTCACCAATCTTGGTATCATTGCCCCTGCCATCGAGGAGTCCTAAAGCACCCAAATTCACTTTATAAGTGCCGAGTTAGCATGACTTGAATCTTGTTATATAAATATTTTTCTAGAGGATATAAAAAAAAATAAGGAGAGAGATGTAAATCATTACCTGATGCCATGGACAATCCAGTATACGCAGTATAAGCTGCCCAAGCAAACACCATCCAGCCGTCGTCCCACGAGAAGGCCGCGCGTTGTCCCCAGCGACAGGCAAAGCGACACAATACGGCCAGAGTCACAATCACCTCGAGCGCAATATCGGTGCGCAACGTGAGCCGCGACTCATCGTTCAAAACAACCATCTTGTTTCTTCTTCCTGGTGTGCAGGGCCGCCCACACGCACACACACAAAGACAACAGAACTAGATCATAAGGAACACGCTGGGTTTTATTCGAGAAAGCTTTAAAATAAGAGCTCTTCTATAGGAACTAGTGGTTGATCTTAGATTTGTGGCACTGGGGAAAGATCTATAAAAGGCATTATCGGGAGTTGGAATTTTCCAGAAATCGGTACGAAAAATGAATAGTCTGTCTCCCCACGTGGTAAGCCCCCATCCTGCAGTACATTTGTTATTGTTTGTTGGGCGTGCTGACGAGCTGAGCCGAGCTGTGCCACGAAATCCTCTCGACGACAAGCAGCGAAGGATTGGCTTGCAGCATGCATATCGGGAGTGGGTGTGATACTTGACAAGGGTGTCAGAATCCATTGCATCCAATTCATTACTCCCAAGGCCACGAGGTTGGGTTTCGACAACATTTGTCTTGCATCAAGCTTTATGCGTGGCTCTCTGGACGTGATCCATCCTGGCACATCATTTATTGAATCAACTGCACTTGGTATTGCCGGTGATCCAGAAGACTTGTTTTTTTTTAAATGATAGACGATTTTACATGTATATATAGATCAGTATAGCCTAGGCCATCGCGGGGGTTCTCTAGCGTATCCTACGAGTTGACATGATATGATATAACCACATTAACCCGAATCATTATTTAGACCATTTGCCTTTTTTTCCAGCCAGTGCTGGGTTGTAGTTTCAGATATCTTATGCTTATCCATGCTCACCCATGCTCACTTGGAAGGCAGAAATCATGAATCAAAATGGCCACGGAATGTTTGATGCAAAGCCTGGGATATCACAGTTCGCGCGACTAGGCACGTACCGAAGCGCCCTCGCAAGCTAGAGATGCAGTATAGTATTTATAGTTGGAGTACTGCGACCTGATGATAAATGACCCCACATGTCCAAGGAACTCTAGGCCCCGACGACCAAATCATTCTGTTCAAATTGTGATTACATGATTCATGAAATCGTGGTCCTTTTCGCCCAGGTCAGGCTGAGAGGGGGTTAGGGACTTTTGAGCGAGAAAACGGAGCTTCTTTCCCCCAGCATTCCAAGTGCGCCACAATTGGGCGCGCGTCGTTATGCTCGCTAAACCACGTCTCTTTGGCTTTGTGTTACAGCGCGAATCCCACTTCTTGATCCTTCAACAACTCGAACAATTAATTGGCCCCAATCACATCAAAATGTCCAACCAGTGACAAGTACATGCGGCGTAAGCTGATCAAACATGGTGCATAAGCTACTTACTTCTACGACCATTCTTCGAAATACCCCCGAAATTCCCTCTAATACAGACTTGAAAGGATGATTTGACTCTTTTTCTCTCCCGTCGCGATCTCGATGCTCGCATCCTTTTGTGCAGCTTGGCGTTCTTGTTCAAAATCCACGGACCTTTACTATTTATATAGCCTTCAGCCGCTGGTATGCTGTGGACTTTTCCGGCTTGATACGATGCCGCACGAGCAGTAGCGGTTAGGCTTCAATTGTGGAAAGAAAAAGAAAAGAAAAGAGAAGAGTAAGGATAGATATTGTCGCCCAGAACTCTAATGACCAACGATCATGTCACTACAGATCTGCTTTGAAGCAAAATAGCGGTCTCGAGTTAACCTGGGCCAATACCAGAGAAGAAGTCCGGCTGAGCTTGGGGCCAAAGGTGTAACCCAAGGAATCCTACACTCATCAGTCTTTTCACAATACTATGTAGGTCGCAGCGCTCACCAAATTTCCCGACTGTACGGCATGACGATGGGCTGGGCTCCATTTTAGGAAATTGAAGCAATTGAGGGTTCAAAAGCCTTGCACATTCAGCGTCATGGCAGCATCTGGACCACACCCTCCTGAAAACCAAGTTCGGCCTCGCGTCGGCAATTTGGGCGTTGTAACCAAAGTATTGTTCCAAGTTTTTGATATTATGCAGTCTAATTTCAAGGATTTCTAATTACAGCTTCTTCTTCTTCATGATACGACATTGAAGGAAAGCTCGCGGCGTTGGCGAAAACGACGTAATTGTACTAATATCAGGTGTATGGAAACCCAGGAAAAGCTGAAAAGCGGCAAATCGAGGCCCCAGAGGATCTGGTTTGCGACTCTCTTCTCGCGCACGATTTGAGTCATCATATCCAACCAGATCTGTCAGGAATCTCTTGACCTGCTGGTTCATCCACAACCGACCCTGCACCTCACAGAGCACGAGAAAGGTAAATCGCTTGCTTTGAATCCTATTTTTCATTGCTAATTACTCCGTGAGAGATATTATTATTTGAGCATACTTTTTGTGTTTTCGGCCATTGTTCACTAACATGACGCATGATTAGTCTGATTGGGATGATCGCAGAGGTATATATTCATGAGTAGACTTGTGCAGTCAGGGGCGCGTACCCTTCGGCGGACTAGGACTAGAAAAGCTATAAAGCCCCCGCAAGATCAGTTCATATTTACACAAGTTTTATTTTATTGGTTCGTTTTCGGAAGAAAGACCATTATTCATACATTGTGTTTGAAACTCAGCCGCCAAGTGAGTCATGTAGTTGGTGTTTTCGGTGTATCCCGCCAAGCATTCCCCGGCCCTTTTGTTGATACGATTGCAACCTGGAGGCCAAGTCTGTCATGAACTTTTGGTTGCCACCAGTTACGTGATACGGAACTCGTGAAATGACATATGATACAGCTTGTTACTCCCCGCCTAGACCAAAGCTTTGTAAACTCATGCTGCTCAAGGCTAGCTTGAAGCTAGCCTTTGCTTTGCTTTCTTTTTTTCTTTTTTTTTTTTTCTTTTTGGTCCTTTCATCTCGTTTTCTCTTTCGTTTCCCCCCCTCTCATTTTTTCTTCTTCTTTTATTAGATCTATATTTTAGTCACGATAGAAAGGTGGCGGATCCATTGGTGTCAAGGCTCGAGTCGAATACACGCGGTTTTAGCCCGCGGCGTTTGGCCGCGGCATATGTAGAGATTTATTCATATTACCACTTCTGGGCGTCCTATAGTTGCAATTTGAAATTGTGGCAACTCAATGGCAGGCCCAGACGTCGCGATACGCGTGGTCATGCAGATGTAAGTGAAACAGCTATGGTCCTCACAATTTGTCAATACTTCGTCTTTTATTGGCCTAATATTCGTATTGGAACAAAAATATACTATTGACAATATGAGGACCGATAACTGAAATTTATACTTATTTTTGGCAGAGCCTCAATGGTTGATTGTACTGTTGTATTATCTCTGATTAACATTGTGCTTAATTATCACTGGAAGCCATTTCCCCCATTGTATCTGTTGAACTATTTCACGTGGACGACTCCATTGTCAGAAACGGTGCCACAAAAGAATTGCAGCTCATGATTCTCTCATGTTTAATTAAGGTGCGTCTTAAAATCATTCTCAGGAACAAAAATCCGTGTGCGGCTACTCTGACTAAATGTCGTGGCGCTTACAAATTTGCTGACTGTACGGTACGGAGATGCTTGGCTTCCGGATTGGGGAGTTGGACTGCCGATTTCCCCGGACTGACGCGTAATTCCGACTCTATACATTTGCTTCCGATTTGTTCCCTCCATGCTTCCGGATCATCGCCAAGCCCAAGGTTTGGCTCTCGGCTTGCCGATCTTGATTGGGGACATCATCTCGGCCGTGCACCGCGGGCAGCCGTCCGTCAAGTATACGATGGGACCAAGGGCTCCCTTCACGGCCCCTGGAACTCTTTGATGGAGGCGGCTGATGTGCGAATAATCTTCAATTTCGTTGACTTCGAGGTCCACAGCACATACGCGTCTCCGGAATGAGAGCATGAATGCAAGGAGGAAGGAAGAAGCATAGGCGTGGCAGCCCAAGTATATAGAAGACCAGCCGCATGCCTCTACTTTGCCTACAAGTACAGCAAAACAAGTCTCAAGCTCTCATTCAGGATCGAATTGAACAGGCCAGACGAGAAAGATGCCCCTCCGACGATCACAAGCCGTAGCCATTCTGGCACTCTTCGGTCTTGCCGCGGCAGTACCCAAGAAGAGGGACGCTTCTGTCTGCACCGAGGTCCGCTCCCGTGTTCCATGGTACGTTTGGGGGCGATCTTTTGTATTGGTAGCATTCTACTAAAATTGTTTGATTCAGGACTTCACTCACGAGCGAAGAGAAGGACGCGTATATCGCAGCTGACCTCTGCCTCATCAATGCACCATCCAAGCTTGGCATCGAAGGGGCAGTCACAAGATGGGACGATCTCCAGTGGCCGCATGTCGTTCAGTCCGCTACTGTTCACGATGTTGGCGCGTTCCTCCCCTTCCACCGATACTACATGACTGCCCATGAGCGTTTGATCAAGGACGAGTGTGGCTACACTGGTCGTATGCCGTAGGTGCTTCCCAATTTCCAAAGCTCAAGGGGACCTCAATATTCGCGCAGAAAACTGATACTGATATACAGGTACTGGGACGAACTTGCCGATCAGGGAAACATGTCTTCATCCGAGATGTGGTCCACTCAGTACTTCGGTGGCAACGGCAGAGAGTCGGACTACTGCGTCGTCGATGGGCCTTTTGCCAACCTGACTCTCCGATGGTTGCAAGATGGCTCCGTTAGCGAGCACTGCTTGACTCGCATCCACAACGACTCCCTGCTCAGCTCGACCAGCCAGGCAAACATTGACAAATGCAATGCCATTGATAACTACACCGAGGCTTGGGAATGCTGGAAGGGCGGTCCTCATAGTGGTGGACATGCTGCCGTTGGCGGAATCGTACGTTGTCTTTCTACCGTCTGAGTCGCCCGTCAATGGAAAGCTGACTGCAAAATCAGATGCTCGACGGCACTCTCAGTCCCGGAGACCCAGTGTTCTACCTCCACCACTCCTGGTTAGACTTATTGTGGTGGAGATGGCAGAACCTCGATATTGAGACAAGATTGACTGACATGGGCGGCCCCAACTTGCCCAACGTGGGAGGTGGACCTGGAGGTAAGGGAAACTCTTTTGGTCTCCGCGGAGTCATATTGTGCTCAAGAACAAAATACTGACTTCTCTTCTTCGCATAGGCCCTGGCGGATCATCCAACACTACTGCAGTCGCAGCTAGCCCGGGTGTGCCTTCAAACCCCAGCGGAGTAATCGGCGGAACAGGTCCAGAGTTCACAGATTACTTTGGCGACGGCGGAAATACAACGACTCTGAACCACCGAATTTACATGGCCGAGATCTACCCTAACGTCACTATTGCCGACCTGATGGATCTTAATGGAGAAGTCATTTGCTCGGAATACCTGGACGATTGAAATGGTCTTGCTCCTGCTCCATATTTACACTTCTCTGGGTGGTGGTTGAGTATACATTGTGGTAGATAAGCTAGATGGAATGTTCTTCAATCAATAGATCACTTTGTGCTCAGAAAGTCAACGGTCTGGATTGGGTTGAAGAGAAGTAATGATGAAGGCCGTAGTCTTTTTTTTTTCTTCTCTTTTTTTCCCTCTTCGAATTGTGAAACAAGGTTGGAATGTTTAGAAAGACAGTACAGTCATCTCTCGGTATTCCGTTGGCCTTCCAAAAGTTACTCTTGCACTCTTATTACCCAGATCCATGATGATGTTGAATAATGTCTGTGTGAGCGTGCTGCCCATTTCCTTTCTGTTGATAGATGATGGATACCCCTCAGTATCCTTGAACATTTCCGCAATCGCATTCAGAGTTGGCTTCTCGGTACTTGCGACCAACTCTCGGATGCGTGCTAGCCGGGCTGGGGAATCCGGCAGCCACGGTGGCTCCTCTACATCATCATGAGGGAGAAGCAGATGGTTCGTGTGGCAGATTTGTCCACCCGAAGACATGGGAAGCTCTTTGATCCATTTGCTCGTGCATTCTAGGCCAACGGACCCGGACGGATCTGCTACCTGCGCGGCGGTCAGTACTGATGAAGGTAGATGCGATCTTCTCTATACTCTGAAACTCCCTCCTCTAGCAGAGTATTGTGACAAATAATCAAAGATTTGATTTGTTACTTACCAATATGTGCCCACTACCAGCTGCGCCAACAGCCTTGATCTTCTTTACAGCTTCGTCTCGCGAATTGGACTCCAATACCGTACGCAGCGCAAAGTGAATTGGCAGTTTTGACCTATCCACACCGCGGCATCTAATAGCATTGAGGGTGCAACCGACACCACTAGAGTTGAGACCAATCTTGCCAATGATGCCGGCCTCGGTGACCATGGCGATATCAGGAATACCCGTGCCCGGCTGCGAGATGTAGCACACGATCAGGTTCTCGGCCTGGTCACGCATCCAATCCCAGTTCTGACAAAGCCAAGACTTTTGCTCGCCGCCTTGAGTGTCCTCGTCCGTCAGCCAAGACAGTGCCGTGCAGCCGTCGCTGGGCGTATCCGCGACTTGGACCTTGGCTGCGGCGTCGCCTGTGAACAAGCCAAAGTTGATCTCGGTTCTCACATTGAGAGCCAGAATATCGAGAAAATCTACACCGGCGCCACTGGCGATGCCGCGGATCTCTTCAATGAATCGCGGGGTGAGAGTCTCCAGGGGCTCTACATATTGCTCGGCCTCACGGAGCACCTCCGGCCAGCTGAGGGAACATGTCTTCTGGAAGAGCTTGGTGTAGAAGGCGATAGAACCGCGAATCTGTGAAGCAGCCAAGCGACCGTGTGTTTCACCAATCTAATTTTGTCTGCGTCAACGACTGGTTCCATTGTCAATGATGGGCATGGCATTGTTCGGGGATATACCTCGTGAGGAGAACCGGAGCAGCGGACCTCGAGCATTGTTGGATACTCACTCAATCTCAAGTGAGATGTTGGAATGAATCGACTTGTTTGTTGCAATTAATAACTGAAAAAGAAGCAGTGACTCTTGTAATTTGGAAAAAAAATAAATATTATGGCGACTCGGAGGGAAAGATAAGTATCATATCTGAGCGCTGTAAGACCAGGTCCGACCCGAGCCCCGCATCTCCGGACCCGCCGCCGACTGATGACATGCTAAATACGTGATCAGGGTCTCCAATTCCGTAGTCCCACTTCCATGCACGTCTCCGAGACCGCGAAAACATTGATAAGCTTGCATTTCTAACTTGAAACCATTCCAAAAGACTGCAAATTTCATGTTTACCATGCATCATTCACGAGCTTCCAACGACTACCATGGTTCGGGCCGTCAGCGGAGGGCCCCGAACTAATGAGTGATAACATGACTAATGAGACCCTGTCACTGGTACATCTTTAGGTTCTATCGAGTACATGTATCGTCTTGATTCGTTCTCAAAGATGAATTGACGGCATAAACCTGAGTGTTCAGGGCTATAGCTATTCTGCATAGCACATTGGCTTTCCAAGACTAATGCTCATTGCTGGCTAATGGGCGTGGGTTTCTCAGAAAGATCCTCAGCAAGGGCTGCCACAAGAAAGATATTTCGAACGGTCTTGAATGTTGAACAACCATTTGCAAGGAGCTGTCACTATTCGGGCGCAGCCAGATCTGCCGCAGGTCTTGCTTGTCTCGTTCAGACCACTCATGATGGCCTATCGGCCCACGACAGACAGACATGTAGAGTTTGTCTGCCCACTCGATCAAGGTTGGCATATTTCCTTGTACTCTACCGTCATGCAAAGGGCCCGGGACGCGAATTGTGTGGGCATCTCTAAGCGGCATGTGTCGATGATCTTCCGGCTCGCCGTAATGTACTCTTTGGTCATCTTCCGAGAGTCTCTTGAATTGAAGGTGAACAAATTCCTTATGACGGTATCCAATACATCCAATGAGCGACAGTGTCATGTCGAGATTCTGCAAGATTTCGCTCCTGACTGCAAGCTCGGCAGCCTTCCGCAAGGTATGCGAAACACGAGAGCAAGTCGCCCAGATCTCCGGAAAGTTGCTTCTGTTGGCCATATGGCCTAGAATAAGTGCCCAGATCTCGATGGGCAAGGTAATACTACTCTCCATGGTATCAAAATTGAGGACTGACGGTACGGTGCTGATAGGATTTGTGTTGTGATAATACCCGTGTATGGGATATCCGATATATATGTATTTTCAAAGATGGTGATGAGCAAGTTGCCATTTTCCTGCAAAGTTTTTATGCTTTTTTTTTTCCTTCCGTGTTGGTGATTTTACTGACGTCAATGCATGTACAGAGTGAATTGGAAATCACGACCTTCTTTGTCCTGGTGACTGGTAATCAAGCATGTACAATAAGAGCCGCAAACGGCAAGCGCTCATAGAGGCAAACACGCGGTTATGTAAGGGAACTATTTACAGTTTTCATCGGCCATGACAATATTCAAGGTTTCTTGAAATTCAAACCACCGCAGATCAAAGCTTGTTCAAGAATTTGCTTCGAGATGGCATACAGAACTCTAATAGAGTGAGTCACGTGGTGATCCATATTATCACTTACATGCTACCCAATGTTAGTAGGAGGTAGACTGTTCTTGGCAAGTTTGAATCAACTTTTATGCTGAGCCTAAACTTAAGATGCAAAGAATGCTCCGAGATGGTAGAGTTTGTACATAATATGCATGAGTGATAGATACTGAATAAATAAAGACGCGAGTTATGTTCCGTGCAAAAAACAAGACAATGGTTGGATGAATATCTCTACTCGTAGATGAATGCTTGTGATTTGGGATAATAAGCGGTAAGAATTCGGCTAAAATACCGAGCTGCTGGTTGACCTTGAGGAAGGTACCCCACAGTTAGGCTGTTTGGTCCGTGCACTTATCGCATCCGGACCCCACAATGTTGAACGCTTCCATGTTTGATGGCATGGCGATTTGATTGACTGATCTGCCCAAAAAGACGATACTTCTTTCATCCTTTTATTAATCCAGTCGCCCGCAACCCGCCGACTCAGCTCGTCATTTCGCCTTGGGGGGGAACATTCGCTTCGTTTGGTCCCCGCGACGACTCATTCCGCCGATTTATCCAAACTCCTATTGGTATCATTCACTTGACAACCAGCGAGCGCAGAGAGGTTTCTTTCTCTCCCCAGCTACATACACTACATACCACCCTCCCCAACTTTGGTGTAGTACGTAGTAGTAGTTGATCGACACCCTTGCAAATCAATTCACCCCGATCCCGCCATTCGACTTTCCTTCTCAACGCCCTTCCCATCTCAACCAGAAACCGACGACAAGATGCCGATGGATGCGCGCGAACTGTCGCAGCGCGTCAAGACGCTGACCTCCTCGCTCGGCAAGAATGACCCTGCCGCCGACATCATCGCACAGCTGGAGTTGATCAAGAAGGAGCCTGCGCCCACTGAGGAAATCTTGCGCGTGAGTCTACCAACGTCCTGCGATGACGTGCGACTGTAACCCCAATGTGCCCGATCAACTGTACCCCCAATGTGCCCAATCAACACATTGGCTCTTGCCTCCACAACAGCTCACTTTACCCAAGACCCTATTTGTCTTGCGACAGCGGTACATTCCCGATTTCCAGGAAACATTTGCTAACCTCCCAAATAGAGCACCAAGGCTGGTGTGGTGATTGCGAAGCTCAACAAGAACCCGAACAAGGACATTGCCAAGCTCGCCTCCGATATCGTGCTTAAGTGGCGCAAGAGCGTCGAGGCAGAGAAGAAAGCCCGCGCAAACAAGGGTCAGCCGTCACCATCGCCCGCTCCCGCCACCAAGCCTGCATCGCCAGCGTCCAAGTTGTCTGCTGGTGCAGGAAGGAAGTTTGAGGGCGATCTCGAGAAGCGTGACTTCCGCAGAGAGGGTGTCGACAAGAATCGAACTGGCAACGCAGAGCGCGACAACGTTATTGGCCTCCTCTGGAATGGTCTCGCCTACCGTTGCGACGAGTCGGCCGACTTTGTGCTTCAGCGCGCCCTCGAGGTCGAGAATGCGCTCTACAAACTCTTCAACGGAACCCCTATGGGATACAAGGAGAAGTGTCGCTCTCTGTTTTCGAATTTGAAGGGCAAGACCAATGCCGAGCTCGGCCAAAGCGTCATGTCGGGCAACATCTCAGCTGAGCGATTTGTCCGCATGTCGAGTCAAGAGCTCATGTCGGCCGAACAGCGCAAGATCACCGCCGAGCTTGAAAAGGAGAACATGAACAAGGCACAGGTTCCCATGGCCGAGAAGAGCATCAGCGAGGAGCTTACATGCGGCAATTGCAAGCAGAAGAAGGTCAGCTACTCGCAAGCACAAACACGAAGTGCTGATGAACCGATGACCACTTTCTGCGAATGCATGAACTGTGGAAAGCGTTGGAAGGTAAGAAAGAGATCCTCTACAAAATGTAGGCCTCTAGCCATTAAGCAATTACTGACAATTATGTACAGTTCTCGTAGTGCCTTGTTTTCATCAAGGATCCGACACTCTGGGTCAAGGCGAAGAGTCAGACTGTTCTTATTATGAATTACGATAGTCCTGGACAGATTAGAGCGTGGACGGCGTTTGCTTGTCAATTCAGCGTCACCAGTTTTCTTGGTTGCGACGTAAGAGCCGCATCCTGGGGGCTTATTTTGTGTTTCTCGGTTCCATTGCTCTCACAAGCATGGATGATACATCTGTAGCAAGAATAGCTACGGTGCGAATGTACAATAGATCACAGACCTCTGTATAGACCATACGGACGTTGGGGCTCTGTGTCAAAAGTGTTCATCGCCGGCAAACGTAATGCCCGGCGGTGTATCACGATCGCCTCGTTGGTCATTTTCCGGCGGGACTGAGTCCCAAGAATCCGAACAGATCGTCTGTGTCCTCTTGCTCTTCTAATCCCGATTCTCCGACCTTTTTCCAGAACTTGCTCAAATGTCTTGTGCCCGAATCGCAAAGTACGGTCACTACTCGGCTCCCTTCGGGTAGCTTCATGGCGGCGGCCACGGCGGCGACGCAGTTCACCGAGCTACTACTGCCCACAAAGATTCCGTCGTGCTCTACTAACCACCGCGCCATCTTGCATGCCTGCTCATCAGATACCTTTACGGCATCTGTAATGTAATCTCGGCCCGCATTGAAGTTGTTTGTGATTCTGTTGATACCGATGCCCTCCACAATGGTGTCGACTTGTTGCCGCCGTCGAGTACCTTCCTTTTCCGTTGCCGAGTACATGACTCCGTACTTTACCTTGTTGTAAAGCCCGCTGCCCTGGGGATCTGCCAGTACAATTTTAAGATCATCCAACTTGGCTTCCTCCTTCAAGTACTTGGTCACGCCCGAAATGGTCCCACCCGTGCCTGCACCAGCAACAAAGGCCGAGATCTCACCACCAGTCTGGTAGTAGATCTCAGGTCCCGTAGTATTGAAGTGCGCAAGCCAGTTGGCCCCACTCTCAAACTGGTCCGCAAAGAAGCCGTTGCTCTCGACCCTCCGGTCTGCGGTATGCTCCTTGGCGCGGCGACGGGCAAGGTTGACAAAGTGGTCCGGCGAGGTGATGGGGGCGACGCGGACGCGCTCCACGGTGGCGCCGAGGTGGTGCAACAGATCTGATTTCTCCTTGGCTTGGTCGTCGGGCATGCAAATGTGCGCCTTGTAGCCCTTGGCCCGGGCTAGCGCCGCCAGCGAGATGCCTGTGCTGCCCACGGTGCCCTCATAAATAGTATCGCCACGGCCCGGAACCAGCAGGCCTGCGGCCTCGCCTGCCTGGATCATGGACAGGGCCACCCGGTCCTTGGGGCTGTTGCCGGCGCCATTGAGGAACTCGGCCTTGGCCATGATGGTACGTCCCGTGGCGTCCGAGAGCGACTTGATCTCCACCAGCGGCGTATTACCTATGCAGCCCTCGATGCCCACGACGGGGCCGGCGGTGGGCGGGAGCAGATGCGGCGGAGTGGCGTCGGCCTTGTCGTCATGGTCCTCCAGCTCCACAGGGCCCCAGAAGAAGCTTGACCGCCGCCTGGCCGTATCGGCCTCGGTAGCTAGGCTGAGCCTGCGCGAGGACTTGCGTGCCGTGCGTCGTTTGCTCTGCTGGTATCGCCTCTCCAGTTCCGGATAAAAGTCTTTGAAGCCCAGAGTGACGCATACGCCCACGACAAAGGCGACGGCCACTGCCGCGGTGCCGTAAGCTTTGGGGTGAGAGCTTAAAGACATGTTTGGATAGACCTAATGATCATTGTTGCCTCATGTCGTTTGCATCCAATCCTGTTTTCATATATACAGTAGCTGAGTTTAAGATTTGAGACTTACAGAAAAGCTGATGAGACAAATTGCACTATAACCTTTGTCATATGCACGTTACATAAAAATTGCATGAGACGCTGTTGGAATTGCGCCAACTGCCCCCACCTGTCTGTGGGTGAGCGTTGAAACAGAAAGAACGTGCCCACTAAGCATAACCAAATCAGGGGAGCTCGGGCCCTGGTCAGCGTTAATTCAACCGCCCAAAGAGCAAAGCTCAAAAGCTGGCCACCCTTCTGCCGAAGCAACCCCAAGTGTGTGGTGGTGGCATGTTTTCTTTGGCAACCAAACCATGGACTCCCCCCTCGTGACGCAGCTCTTTCGACAGCTGTTCCGCCAACAACACTCGGCATGTCGTGCTCGGAGGACTATAGCGGCTCTGCCGTCGGCTGCTCTGCGTCACGGCCGCGGTGGCAGCACCGTTGTGTCGCCGTCGCAGGAGCAGAGGAGAGGCATGGCCTCGTCGGGGCGCCCAGGCGCAAGAGGCGCCACAAAACAGTTCGGCAAGGCCAATGAGAGCGATTGGCAGCAGAGAACAGAGTTATTCTCCTTTGACATGTCCGAAGAGTACAAATCGTACCCCTTGGTCACGGCAGAAGAGTTGGAGAGCAGGAAAGAGAGGCCGAGAAAGGTCAAGATGCTGATGCGGGACTTCATTGATGGTGTGTACATGCAATGCCAATACTGGGTTTGGGCGCTCGTGGCATTCAACTAATATGCATCTATAGACAGTCTCTATAATCCCCACTACGGCTATTTCTCAAAACAAGCCGTCATCTTTACGCCTGGTGAACCGTTCGACTTCAACTCGTTCAAAGACGAACCTGCCTTTGCTGAGGAAAACAGTCGGCGGTGGACCGAATTCGAGGACAAGCTCGACACGAAACTGACCGAGCCAAATGACACGCGGCAACTGTGGCATACGCCGACCGAATTGTTCCAGCCATATTACGGCCAAGCGATAGCTCGGTATCTCATGGCCAATTACATCATGAAGACCTACCCGTATCACGACCTGATTGTATACGAAATGGGTGCCGGAAGAGGAACCCTGATGATGAACATTCTCGACTACATTCGCGAGGAGGAACCGTCGGTTTACGACAGAGTCAAGTACAAGATCATTGAGATCAGTCCATCGCTGGCCGCTATACAGAATTCTCAGCTTATGCGAGACGCTGCTAGCAAGGGGCACGCCGACAAGGTTGAAATCATCAACAAGTCCGTATTTGAGTGGACGGAGCGTGTGCCGTCGCAATGCTTCTTCATTGCGCTCGAGGTTTTTGACAATTTTGCCCACGACATCATCCGCTACGACCTAAAGACGGAGGAGCCGCTGCAGGGTATGGTTCTGATTACGGAGAACAACGATTTTTACGAGTTCTACGAGCCAGTGTTGGATCCAGTCGCTGCGAGATTCTTGCGCGTGAGGCACGCAGCCACCAATGGTCGATACCAAGTCCCTTACAGCAACAGCAAGGCTGTGCGCTGGCTCAAGCAGCAGATGCCCTTTGCGCCCAACCTCAGTGACGCCGAGTACATACCAACGAGGCTCATGCAGTTCTTTGACATTCTGGAAAAGTACTTTCCCGCTCATAGACTCGTGACGAGCGATTTCCACACCTTGTCCGACGCCGTCAAGGGCTTGAACAGTCCAGTGGTGCAGACACGATATCAGCGGCGCATGATTCCCGTCACCACGCCTCTCGTCCATCAGGGCTACTTTGATATCTTGTTCCCAACCGACTTTAGGACGACAGAAGCCATGTACGGCGCCGTCACGGGCAAGCTGTCCAAGGTCATGTCGCACGAGGAATTCATGCGTCGTTGGGCTTTTGTAGAGGACACCACGGTACAGAGCGGAGAGAATCCATTGCTGAGCTGGTATAAAAATGCCAGTGTCATGATCACGACGAATTAAGTAAAGAGATAGAAATCTGTATAAAAGATATGTATAAATTCGACACTACTTGTTTGTGGTTACCTCCGCGCTGTGCTTGTGACCATGGATGTTTTTTTTCTTCTCTGTTCTGTATTTTAATTATTTTTGAGACCATTCGAAGCAGAAAGAGTTCCACATCACTCTATCGTTTTCTGTAGACATGACAGACCATGCTTGCAAGCCAGGAACTTCATGGTGCCAATGCTAGATGAGATAATGACAGTTTGCTCCCCTTTCAAAGTCAGACACATGATGGCTTTCCCAGAGATGGAATACCATAGATTGACCTGAAACGTAAACTGATTCGATTTTTAAAAGCGAATTAATAATGGAGTTCAGTAATGCTGCTGTTGAAAACCAACTTCTGGAATGTGAACCCATACCTACTAGGTACGTAGTAAATGCAAAATATGACGTCTTGAATGGAATTATACAATAGAAATGAAATCAATGTCCGACTGGTCTTCCTACCTTGGCAGTAACGAATAGTGGACAACTTTTGGTTAATAATGCATACCAGGGGTAAGCCTGGCGAACAACAATTAGAGTCCCATTTGTCCATTTGGCTTCAACAGGACAAACCACAACAGCACGGCAATCTTCACCATTTATATCCAGCTCAACAGCCAGAAGTGATGGTGCCTGGTTGGGACACGCTTGGAGACGTACTCGTCGAGGTACAAATAGACAGCCTGCTTGTTTGCACATGCGTTACAAAATAGTCATAAAAGCCCTGCAACTTTTTAGATTACAGTGAGAAGGTAGAATCAAGTTGATATTTTATTTAGATGGAGATCTACAATCAGGTTGGAAGGGCAAAAAGGGTTGAGGGTTACCAAAAAAAAAAAGGCAACCTGACTGGGAGTTGAACCCAGGAAATCTCCTACACAGACCTCGAGCGGGTAGTAGTTTGATTCGCCCTAGAAGTCGTCAGCCTTTTCGGAGAGGTGCTTACCACTGCACCACCAGGTTGAAAGAAAACGAGACTATTTTCATTCAAGACACCTGGGTGGTCAGGAGATTGCAAACGGGATGGGGGGTCTTGCGCACTACTGGTTGCCCAGTCAGCCTCCCCTCACTCATTCATTCATTCAGAGAGCAAATGCCGTTTGTCCCTTGTTTCGTTGCCTGCGATGTTCACTCTGTTTGCTTTCAGTTCATTGTCCTTGTTTGATGAATGGTGTCATCCTTCCTTTGTGTCTGTGGCAAGTGCGTTTCCATAGAGACATGATTTATATTACCTGTAGAGTTTATGATGATATCCAATATTTCAAATCTCCCAACTACGCCACATAAACTCGGCAGCATTTCCCTTGGTTATCTTATGCCTTGACTATGTATTGACTCAACACCACACTTTCAAGATATCGGATGTTGAGCATACTGAATATTGGAAAAATGGCAAGTCATAAGTGGGATACATCAGACGAGCGTAAATGGTGAACAACTCCTGGGGCGTTTGATACGCGCTGCATAATTGATCATGGCATCGCTCATCATAGAAAATTGTTGTGATTGCTTTTCTTTTCTCTTTCTTGGACCCTGGTTTTATCCAGCATAATATATGCAGTGATCAGCATATGCCGAAATAAATATCCAAGAGTCCATCAGCAAGTTGTTTTATTCAATCATTACATAGCCGTCTCAACATACGTCTCGTCACTCGGCTGTAAAAGAGCATTACGTTATCATAGTATCGGTAGCAGCAAATCCGCGGAGTCCGAATAATCCAGGCAGCAAATGCTCAATACATCTTGAAACGTGTATACTATTGTTATGGCTCCACTTTCATCACCAATCAAACTATGAAAGCATGGTCATATACGCTTGGCGCGCGGAAACACCCCCAAAAATGCCAATTTCTTGCCGGGACCTTTGAGACTGGCAGACGACAATCCCGGTCCTCACGCTACCTGGACTACATGTCCTGATTGATCAATGCCGCTGGTCTGATTTCTGACAACCGGAGACCGTCGCATCCGTGTCTAGATGACGCGATTTCGAGTAAACAATGCTAGCAAGACCCCGTGTTATACTGCCCTTTTTGGCTGAGTTGCCTAAGCTGACGATGATTCCAACGGCACAACTTCCGCCCGAAGTGACCCACAGGACCTTGAGCCGGCTTATAATCAGGTATTGAAGCTGACGGGAGCGGTCAAAGCGCGTTTGGTTCCGATTGGTGATATTTTACGTAGGAGACAAGGATTGACTGATTATCTTTAGATCAGATAAGATTGCTTGGCATCGTATCCTTGGCATCTGATCTGATTAAAATGCTTGGCATTTCTCTTATATCCGAGCCGCACTCGTATACTAAAGGGCAAGGCCATGCTCATTTTCAAGCTGGCCATTGACACAATTAACTCGTCGAATTAACCATCATTTAGTAGCTATTTCATTAATTTAATTAATTTGAATAAAATGTCATCCATTGCCAAGGACGCGTCAGCCAATACGGCAGCCGGCCCCCTCGCACAAGTCGAGGCCGCAACTGTCTCGACAAACACGGCCCAAGAAGAAGAGACTGATCCCCATCTCGTCACATTTGATGAGCCATTCGACGCGGAAAACCCCCAAACCTGGCCCAGCAACCGCAAATGGGCCGTCACCAATGTCTTGTCTGCGACGGGCTTCAATCGAATCATGGTCTCAACCATCATGGCCCCAGCTCTGCCGGCTTTGGCGGCAGAGTTGGGCATGAGCACCACCGAGTCCGTCATGAGCCTTTCTATATATGTGCTTGCGACTGCGCTAGGTCCACTGCTGTGAGTACTCAAAACCTGTTGGGGGGGAGGGGGGTTCAATTCTTCTTAGACGATTCCTCTCCTGAGATCTTGTTTCCCGATCCCATATTTTTTTGGCTTGGGAAATACCTTATTTATCTGTAGCTCGAGTACTTGTTGGAGATTTCTGCACAATCTAGAAAAGAATTGAGAGGCTAACACATATTGACTCACCAGGATCGGTCCGCTCTCCGAAATGTACGGCCGGCAGATTGTTCGTAAGTGGCTCTTGATCATTGTATAAATGCTTACACTGTCATTTTCCAAAAGCCCAAAAACATTGTCTCCCAGTATGTGGTTGTACAAATTTTGCGGCATCTCTCAAGTGGGGGATTAAATACATTACCTACCTTTTACCTGGAGTGAACGCTGACTGGCGTACTTGGTTCAAGTCCACGCATCCAACGCCTGGTTTCTGCTATGGAATATTGTCTGTGGCTTCGCCAACACGAAAGAGCTCCTTATTGCTTCTCGCTTCCTGGCCGGCTTTGGTGCCAGTGCCATTTACTCGCTCGCTGGCGGCGTCCTTGGTGACGTGTGGTCCGCCGAGCAGCGAGGTCGGTCTTTGGGGCTCTATATCCTCATTCCCATCTTGGGATCTGCAGTTGGTCAGTCATTCCATTTTCATTCTGCAATTTCCATCTTTTGTTGCTTTCTTTTTCCCCTCTCCGCCTGTCGTACTTACAAAGTGCTGATATTGCTTGGGCTCAGGACCAATTATTGGTGGATTCATGGCGGCACGGACGACCTGGAGATGGATGTTCTGGGCCACATCCATATTCCAGGGTCTCATGATTGCCGTCTCCCTCGTCGTGTTCAAGGAGACGTACGCGCCCCTGATCCTCAAGCGGCGCGCCGAGCAGCGGCGGCGGGAGACGGGGGATGCGCGTTACTACACGGCATTTGAGCGGCGCGACGAGCAGCGATCCCTCTTGGCCGTGCTGGGGCGCACGCTGACCCGGCCGCTGCGGTTGCTGGCCTTTCATCCCATTATTCAGGTCACGGCGGCCATTGAGGCCTTTTACTACGGTCTCTTGTATATTGTCTTGTCGAGCTTCGCCTCGGTGTGGACGGACCAGTACGGCCAGTCGACCGAGGTCAGCGGGCTCCATTATATCACCTGCGCCCTTGGCGAGGTGGCCGGCGGGTTGGTCGGTGGCCCGCTCATGGACTTCATGTATCGTCACATGCTCCAACGTGCCGGCAACGGGGAGCATCTGCCCGAGTTCCGCCTTCCGCTTATCGTCCCCGTGGCTATTTTGGGGCCAATCGGCCTGTTTGTTTACGGCTGGGCAGCCGAATTCCGCGTGCACTGGATCGTGGTAGATATCGGTGTATTCATTTACATGTTCGGGGGTCAAATTACCGGAATGCCATTGCAGGTCAGTCATTTGGGTGTTGATTCTTGTTTTCACCCGGCCCTACGAGTGGTTGAGCATACCTTGCCATACACAGGATACTCTCTCCTCTACGTTCATGTGTCATGGAAGATCATGATTCCGTTTCGAGACAGACACTGACTGTATTCTTTGCGCCCTCCAATGTAGGCATACGTCATGGACGCATACCCCGAGCACACGAGTAGCGCATTGTCGGCCGCCCAGTTCCTCCGAAGTATGGCAGCATTTTCGTTCCCCTTGTTTGCACCGAGCATGTATGCGGCTTTGGGATACGGCTGGGGAAACAGTACTATTGCATTCATTGCCCTGGTGTTCGGCATACCAGCGCCATTGATGCTGTGGTATTGGGGGGCGCGATTGAGAGCAAAGGCGACTTCGAGTCACTGATGATGCACGCTGCGTAACACATTGGGCCCTCACGCGCGAGACCCAGAGTTTCAAAGATGCTGCGGCTGTGAGTATACTTTCGGTCGCAATTGTTGCCGTTGTTGGCACATCTTGTTCCGTTCCACCGCGCTTGCGTGGGCGGTCAACGACGGGACAGGTGAGAGTCGAGCCCAGCTGCCAGCCTATATTAGTCTTGGTTATCTCCATAGTATACCTAGTAGTAGGTAGAGTGGAGTTGAGAGTACCTACGCAGCATCAGTTCAGTTCACCCTGTTGGCGCGCTTGCGCTTGAATGGAACACATAATTGTGGGACCTTCAGCCACCGCTATAATTTCAAGATGGGAAACACGAGGGAAACTCCATCTCTCACATGTTGTTGCGACCTCGGGAATATTTTATTTTCCACATCATAACGGAACTCTTCCTTCAAGCGGAAGGACATTTCTCGGCCCTTGAGCTGACGCAGGTTGAGCCAAACTATAATCGAGGTCGGAGATAAAAGAAAAACGTTGGCCGCCATGCGTTCATCTTATTCGTGGGTTTGGTGGAGATAGCTCGCATATTTCATAATATAATTATTTTCCGACCAGTCAAGAGACTAAGAGATGATTTATAATGCCACGTGGGTGCATCCCGATGCCGTTGCATTTATATTCATAATACCTTTATGTTGAACGGCCGGCATATACTAGAAGCATGACATATCCCTGGTCAGAACCACGCTGCTTTTAGTTCTGGTCCTAGACAAGGGTACTGGACCCTGCCGACAGACATGATCAATGTATTCTTGGTAAATGTGAAACAACTCGAGGATTGTGAATGACTATTGCGTGATTCGCCGGCTCACATCAATGATTTGTTTTTATGAGAGCCTTTTGTTAATTGTATCTCAAGCATGATGGAATATATGTTACTAGTTTCACTGGGCAATGCTCATGTTTACTTTGAGCTCCAGGCGACTTCTAGAGAATCAATCTGTACAGATACATTTTGGACGAAACCGATTTCCACGGAGCATATCTTCTGACTCACATTGAGCAATGGCATGAAGCTCGTCTGCGATATGGACATGACAAATTCGAAACCTGTCTACTCGTGGGTACTTCAAAACTGACAGAATGACTAAGAGAATTAAAGTACGGGTTTTCGGTATAAGCAGTTTTATATCACTACCTAGGCAAGTAGCTTGATAAATACGATTTTCTACTCTTATATAGATACGTTTTAGGACGAAAATTATATAAGGAGGTTTACGCTATCTTATGAAAAACCACCTCAATATTTTTTTAAAAAAAAAGGCCGGTTTCTGAATTCGACAAGATCCTCATCTGCTCCAATGGCAGATATATAATCAAGATTTTGCATCGTTTTTACTGGCAATCACGCTGTTGGACCATTCTGTGCTTCGAGTGCGCGCAAAGTACCATTCAACAAAAAGGGTACAGTCACAGTATCCTGCGCGACAATGGCGGCGAGGAGACCCGTGGCAACATGAATGAAGCCGTAGACCAATCTGGCCATAGCCTTTGGGAGTCAGACACTCACACATATCTCTGAAAAATTTCTCACAAAGAGAGACCCCTCAACAGTTTTAACATCAGGTGATTTGAACTTCATTTTCGGGATTTGAAGCAAAATCTTGGTCAGAGGAATAGGATGGCAGGATCTTGGGTCAAATCAATCTACGTCTTGAGTTCGCTATATTGCATCAAGTTGAAGTTGGAACAGCTAATCTCTTGAGTCGACGACGTCCACTGCCAGCCTTGGAAGCCCCGGGCATCCGAATTGTTACCCGATAGTATGCCGATGAATGTGTACTTACAACGGCCATGATAGCATATTAACGACGCGATAACCTACCACTTCCAGTCAACGGACGACCAGGATTTATTGTCGAGCCACTGGCAGCCACTGAGCTTCAAGCTCATGCTCCCTACAGATTAGGAGCTAGACAACAATGAGACGGATCAAGGCTGGCTTTCTTTTTTCCTTCTTTTTTATTTGCTCTTACTCTCCTTATTCTTCTTCTATTTCTTTTCCCCGCATTTTTTCCCCCTTGGTATCATCGTTGAGAATGAGCCAAGTGCTGAATGGAACAGAATGAGAAGAGTTGGCTGGACGAATCAGTTTTCTTAATGAATGAGATAAAATTGCTGCAGATCAAGCTAATTGATGCACTGTTTGATTGATATGAGTGTAATGCATCAGCATGAAATCCAGTCTGGACAAGTCGTGTTATCATGGTATTCAGTACTGTTGTCTTAGCATTAGCGCACTCTGAACAATATAGTCAATGACTGGTCCCTGCATAAGTGCTCGGTGATCCACTGCCGTAAGGTGACTTGGATAAGTAAAAGCGGCACAGGTCTGTCTTGATTCATTCGATATTGCGCCTTTATCGAGCTATATAACGCAGTAACTATGCAAAGTAATCAAGTAGTAATTCAGGGAGTAGTTCATAGACGAGAAATAAAAAAGTGCAACGTACAAAAAAAAAAAAAAATCCTCAAAGGTCGCGGCTATAGAAGCCGATCTAAACTTGGTCGATGGTCCGAAGCCGCGGGGGCTAGAGTGGTATCGTTGCAATGATTGGCGCGCAAGGATTGGTGGGATAGTCGGGGTTAGAGCTGCCGAACGTCATGCCCCCAAATATTGTTGGAGCGTAATACCGCCCACTATTGAGCCAGTCCCCCTCACGACCCAACATTGGAGATACCGGCAAAGGAGCAGTTCGACAGCACCTCTAGCCAATGGTGCGCTGGTGCAAGCGGCTAGGAAGACCAGTGGTTCCTGGTCAAGTGAACAGCACGGTCTTTCGTAATGTCCCGAGTTCGTGACAGCAATGTAAATTGTGGGATCGTGGGCCGCGGCGTTTGCCTACAAAAACAGCTCCAGGTATCATTGGCACGAACCCCTCCTTGAGTATCTAGTATATGCTTTTGCGATCGTCTCTTTGTCGAGCTGTGTCCTCACTTTCTCCAATCACCCACCTCCTCCAACAATTCATTCGTTGTCAGTAAGAGATTGTACAGCCTGTATACCATTTTTTTTTTTAGCCGGCAAGATGAGCCCATCCGCTATTGATGATGCTCCGTCGCACCTCGACGTGAAGCCATCCAAGGCCAACATTGGCGTTTACACCAACCCGGCGCATGACCTTTGGATCAACGAGGCCGAGCCCACTGTTGAGGACGTGCAGAATGGTAGTTCTTTAAAGCATGGCGAAGTGACCGTGGCCGTCAAAAGCACAGGAATTTGCGGGTGAGTAGCCGGCGCAACACCACTTGTGCACGCCTTATCAAGCTGACAGAAGATCATGTCTAGGTCGGACGTTCACTTCTGGCACGCAGGCTGCATTGGCCCCATGATTGTCGAGGGTGACCACATATTGGGACACGAATCCGCCGGACAAGTCATTGCCGTACATCCTTCGGTCAAGCACCTCAAAGTCGGCGACCGAGTAGCGATCGAGCCAAACGTCATTTGCAATGAATGCGAGCCGTGTCTTACTGGCAGATACAATGGTTGCGAAAAGGTCGAGTTCTTGTCAACACCTCCCGTACCAGGTCTCTTGAGGCGTTACGTGAACCACCCTGCTGTCTGGTGCCACAAGATCGGTGACATGACGTACGAGAATGGCTCGCTACTTGAGCCGCTCAGCGTCGCCCTGGCCGGCATGCAGCGTGCCAAGGTGCAACTCGGAGACCCGGTTCTGATCTGTGGTGCTGGGCCCATTGGACTCATCACTCTGCTTTGCGCAAAGGCTGCTGGGGCTTGCCCTCTGGTCATTACTGACATTGATGAGGGTCGCCTGAAGTTTGCAAAGGAGCTCTGCCCGTCTGTCATTACTCACAAAGTCGAGCGGGCCAGCGCCGAGGATGCGGCCAAGGCTATAGTCAAGACCTTTGGCGGCATCGAGCCCACAGTTGCGCTGGAATGCACGGGCGTTGAGAGCAGTCTAGCTGCAGCTATCTGGGCTGTCAAGTTTGGAGGCAAGGTCTTTGTCATTGGTGTTGGCAAAAATGAGCTAAACTTCCCTTTCATGAGGTGTAGTACCAGAGAGGTTGACTTGCAGTTCCAGTATCGATACTGCAATACCTGGCCGCGTGCTATTCGCTTGGTGCAGAACGGAGTCATTGACCTGGCCAAGCTGGTAACGCATCGATACAAGCTAGAGGAAGCACTCGAGGCGTTCAAGACGGCAGCTGATCCAAAGACTGGCGCGATCAAGGTGCAGATCCAGAGTCTCGATTAGGCTTTTAGAGGCGATTCAGAATAAATGAAGCTCGAGGCAACTTTTGATGATCTGAAATTGCCGTGTCCCCAAGCTCAATATTCGCAACCATGGCATTGATGGGGAGTTTTAGTGTAGGGACGGGGCCCAGGCCATAGCTATAGAGGACTGTGCGTGTTGTGGAGGTTCCATGACGAGCTGGGGATCAAAGGAGAAGTACAACAGATATGGTATTGTTTGGTAAATAACGTGTGTAGATTTACAGAAATTTTAGGAATACTCCAAAGCCAATCTGAAAAAATAACAAGGTAAAGACAAAGTTTGAGAGAATCATGAACCTGCCTTGATTAGTGTCATGTTGAAGACGGCCAGAAGCTTCAAAATGACTGACTTGCTTCGAGAGGAGGATTATTAAAGCACGGGCGAAATTTGTCGTCCCATATATGAAGCAATACGTAGTGCAAAGAAGGTACGTACCTGGCAGCGCGCCCCGTGCGAGCCCGTAGGTAACGTTCTTTCCCGAAGCAGATGGAGCTTTTGATTGGCCAATCACGTAGAATGTGGATCCGGCTGCCGAAAAGTGCTCAACTTTTTACCACGAAGCTCGTGAGATCCCAATCCAACCTCCCGACGCCGACGACTCCTCTCAATCCGCCATCGAATCCAGTCGCTCACCAGGCACCCGTCAGCCTCCCTCGTCCCTCTTGTCTGTGAGCTTTCGAACGCCCGCAATCCACGACATAACCGCCCATCATGTCTTCCCAGGCCCTTACGCGCCCCGTCCTCCGCCAGTCCGGAGCTCTGCGCATGGCTGCCCGCAGATTCGAGTCCACCACCACATCCAAGGCCGCCGACGCCGCCAAGGAGACCGCCTCCAAGGCATCGAGCTCCGCCTCCGAGTATGCCTCCAAGGCACAGCAGGGCCTCTCCAAGGTCACCTCGGCCGCTGGCCCGGCTATCTCGGGCGCTGCCAGGGGCGTCGCCAGCTCCCTGAGCAAGGTCGGTGGCCGGACAGGCAGACTGGTTGCCTTTGTCGAGAGTACGTGGAAATGATCCAGACAAGCCCAAATTCTTCAGACACGTCTCGCCAATGACCCGACTGTCGCAACCATGTCTACCATAAGTCCCCCATGAGAAGGACGACAGCTGACCTGGATAAACTATAGAGCAAATTCCCCAGGTCATCTACTACTCCAAGGTCGGTGCTGAACTCGGCAAGATCGTGTTCCGCAACCAGAAGATGTCTCCTCCGTAAGTTGTGCCATCAAAACTGTCCATTGGGACCATGTATATATTAACACCAAGAAACCCAGCTCCCTCGAGACTTTCCAGAGCTACTGGCAGAAAGCTTACAAGACGGCGCTCAACCCCAGCGCTCTTGCGCAAACCGCCTCGCAAACCGCTTCCAAGGCCGCTCAGCAGCCTGCCTCGATAGTTGAGCGTGTCCGAAACGTGAACCGCGCCCAGGTCATTGCTGGCGGTGTCGTTGCTGCCGAGTGCCTTGGTTTCTTCACCATTGGCGAGATGATTGGCCGCTTCAAGATCATCGGATACCACGGCGACAACGGTGCTGCCCACCACTAAATCCAGCCACGGAGACGAGTTTTTTACGCAACGGCCACAGTAGAGAACCCCAACGCGATAAAGACGGGGGCCCGGAGATGTTCAATAGACAGGGCACAGGATTAAAAGTGTCAGCTGACGGATGTACTCTGCAAATAGGGGGTTCAGGATACTTGAATCCCCACAGACATTTAGACTAGCGATGAGATAGCCGCCACGTTATTGCGGTAGTCTTGATCCCTTTTTTGGGGCTACGATTGAAGGAGCAGGGCTGGGTGAGGATCTGCGTAGCATCCACCAGTATAGCCTGCCCTCTCAAAAGAGCCCTCCCAAAAATTTCCTTTGTAATCCTGTACAATACCTGAACGGCATAGGATGGTTGTCTGGAGAGAATCAAATAATCGATTGAAAAAAAGTGTACAATGTCCCAAAGAATTCACATATACGTGTCTCAAGTTGGTGATGTTTAGTACATGTTTGCTATCACGCCAAAAGTTTGATTCTATTGAAGTTGGAAACGGTAGTAGTTACCGCCAAATATCAACTGAGAGGATGATTCGTGCCAAGCAGGAATTCTGAGCAAGTCAAGTCCGTGATCCTTGTGAGCTCAGCCCATTCTTCTCCAATGCACAGATCAAATTGCTGCAAGGTACTTTGGTGTTCCCTCAGCCAGTACCTACCTGAAGTCGTGACAAGCCATGATAGGGTTTCTTTAGAGACGACTGGACAAAAAAGCCAGCTTATAGGAAGAGAGCCCGAAGCGCTCCACGTACCGACACGGCCCGTGGGACCTGTCCTGCTTACATTTTACTCGTTACACCAAACCAAAGGGGCCGCAACACGCATGCTTTCCGAACGGGACGAGACGACACGTACACACTACGAGACCGGTTGACAGGAGCCGAGCCTCCCTGGGGAAACAAGGACGAGAGTTATATTTTCTTTCCCTCAACAAGCGAGATGGTGTGCGACATGATTTCTTTTTCCCATCATGTTGCATACTGGGCATGCACGAAGGGGCGCCTTCACAGGAGGTGTCGTCGCCCATCTCCCGTCCTCCATCTATACCAAAGATAGGGGGTTAGGGAGGAGAGGAGAAGGGGCGGTGGGCCAAGTGGTCAGCGGTCAAGGTTCATTGAATGGGTGGGCTCTCATCTTGAGACCGCTTATCTACTGTCTTCCCTTCTCGCAAAATGGCAAATCGGGTGTCTCCCTCGTTCTCATGTCAGTTATCCCCCATTGACCAAGAGCAGGCAAGTCTGGCATTCAATCATGGGATTGGAGGGAGGAGGTATGCCCGGCTGTTCTCGCGACGGCCCGTGGCCTGCCAGGGTAATGCAACCGCCTTTATTCTCTCTCTTTCTCTTCCCCTTCCCCTCTTCGCTTATTGCCCTTCTTCTTGATGAGAAACAGTAACATGTTGTATCCCCATACACCATCTTCGCGTATTGTGACCTCGGTAGGTAGCAAACCTCCAGGCGTCGATGCAGAACCGGATGGGGCTTTGCGGCAAACACGATGCAGTCTGTGCAGACAGATGACATTTGGAATTTCTGGGTATCTTGACCAGCTTCCGCGTTTTCCACTAGGCCAGAGATTATCTGTCTTTTTTTTTTTTTTTTTTTTTTTCCGCCTTTCCCCCTCTGCAGCATAACGCATATCATTTCTCAGATAATCGAGTGGTTGGTTCACCTAGTAAGTACACAGTAAGGTAGATCTGCAGGTCATGTACAGTGCTCTCTTCAGAGTCCGTACCAATTTTTTAATATTTCTGTTTTCCACCTCAGGCAGGGTACACGAGACTAGGTGGGCGGGAGAAGCGAGGAATGAGAAAAATAGGTGCATGACTTTCAAGTACCTCAGCCCAGTAAGACATACATACATACGTGGATGCAATGCACCACACAAGATGTAATGTGAGATCTCCAATATTGGCAATTCGCGGTTTGGGGACGGTTTGGGGACGACTGCATGCATAATGCATCGCCAGCACATCGTAAGGAGTGGGGTGCAACGAGACAGAGATCATCGCAACTGTCAAAGTGTGGTGGTATTGGTCCCTTTTTGGCATCTCATGTATGCCAGGCATCAAAGCCCCCGGGCAACGGAGAATGGTTCCTGAGTGAGTGAGAGGTACATAGTTGAAGATCAAGGCCGAGTATCGTAGTACAACCTTAGTACAACCTCTCCAAGGTTGTAGAAAGGTTCAGGCTCTGAGGACTGTTGCCCTAGAGACGAGGCAGATAGGGCTGGCATTAGCGGCCTATATCATACATCATGGGGTCCGGATCGGCTGATACATATTGATCCAGGATAAACCAATTGGCTTTCTGGGCGATTGGACACCAATTTTCGTTCCGAGGCGTCAAGCTCTTTTTTGTTTTCCTCCGCGGTGCCGTTGTTTCTAGCCCGTTGTTCACAAGAAAACATGTCGGCAAGATAGTCGGGCTCCTTTGGTCCAAAGTATCGAACAAATATCTTGGAGGCCTCGGGCAGCAGCCTCGATTCGACATCATGCCGCAATGTTATTGATATGCCCTCACACTGCAAGAGTACACTGAATGGCCTCCATGACCAGATGAACCCTGTACTTGTCATGCCACCGCCAGTTGTCCTTGCAGCTTCGGGCCCCTGTTCGCCCTCATCGAACATGGGAAGCGGCAAATTTAGGTCATCGCAACCAAGACACTGCGGCCGGCTGTGGAGATGCGATACATTGTCTTCTCTGTGTATGCCCAATGTCACGTACCTACCATTTGAGAAGTTATTTAGGCCGAGGGCCTACTGCATATGGCATTAGCAAGGGTAAGGACGACGGGATACCATCAGTGTAGTGCGAGTGACGTGTAAGTGCATGGGAAAAGTGCAGAAAAAGCTTCTCAAAGAAGAAGAAACTCACGATATACCTGGCTGGTCTCGGGTCGGATGATCCTGTGCAGACCGTATTGACGGGCCGTGAATGATGGGCCCATCTGCAGGCTAACCACCCGCGGCGCCTTGGTTCATGTTGGACCAATCTTGCCTGAATCCAGTTGGAGTATCATTGACGGGCTGCGCAGGAGCAGAAAAAGATTGGGAAACATTGATGCTGGTTTTCTAACCCCCAGCCAAACATTTCCCAGTCATCTTTGACCATGAATACGCAGGCGTAGTCGTCAATTGCTCCGGGGGAATTTGGTCTCATAGTTGGCACATTGCAACAGCTGTAATCGGATAGTCGCTTTCACAAATACGATAGAAGAAGGGCTGTGGCGGAGCGACGTCGTCGGGGGCGTGGGCATTGAGAGAGTTTCGGTGCTAAGAAATCTGCAGCCCAGAAGATGTGGTGGAAGGAACAAGATTTGGTTATAACTACGAACCAACAGTCGACTTGCATATTTGTTGACGGATTTGTGTTCATCCGCAACAGATCAATGATGTGGCTGCTCATCATAATATTGACCCGTAACGCGAGACGCTGGGTTTGGACGTGACAGTAGGCCACCGCGGCCGGGAATGCGGCCGCGAGGCCACCTAACTGTGCATTAATTCGTGAGCAGCGACCAAGTCAAGACAGTCAAGCAGTTGCCTAAAGTGGAGAACAAAGTAACAGGAATCAAGTCTATAACTCGAGATAAGCAATCATTGCAACCCACGTAGCCAGTCTAGCGAGGTCTGGCTCGCAGAATGCCTCCCGTGGAGTACATAGTGCACAAAACCAACCTTCTCATACATCTCGAGATGCCCGTTTGCCCGGAAGAAACCCACGAGGAAGCAGCCGTGGCCGAATGACGGCATGGACCGGCATATGCACATTCCACATGGCCACGAGGATAGACATGACCACCAATGCCTGCAAGTGTCCCATGCAAGCTAGCTGCACCGAGGCTGATGAATCGCCATTTGTTGGCTTAAAGGGACTGAATACCATCTTGAGCAAATATTTGTCGGCGTCGCATCGAAATGACGAGCGTAAGATTTCAAAAGGTAATCAAACAATTTCCCCTTTTTGTTGCATACAGCGTCTGTGGGGAAACACAGTGTAAATCACCACAGCCCTTCCATCGAACAGTAGGTGAAATCATGCACCTGAAATGACCTGGCTGCACAACCTTTCATGACTCTGCAACTCTGGAGCATTGACAAGGTTTCCGAATCTTGCGGCCGGGAGATTTCCAACGGCTGTTCCGTACAGAAGACAAGGGGGCAGTAGCATTGCCGGGGGGGCATCGTTTTGCGACGGCAGACAGTGGGCTGTCAGACTGGCAGGCATTGTTGCTAGGCGATCGACAGCATTGCTGAGTGGACTCGGAGAAGACCGCACGAAAGACAACTGGCCGCCCCCAAAAGACGCAGAGGTTTTGAGCCATTATATCGGTACGCCCGATTTGGGCTTGACTGGGCAGGGAAGACGAAGATGGGCGGTTCCGCAGCTCTGCGCATTGCTCAAGGCGGGCGGGTAGATTTTGCCGCCAAATGTCGCAATTGAGTCCCAAATAGAACAAAGCGCCGTAGAGCGGCTGCGAGAGATTGAGGAACTGCCAAGCTGTACAACATGCGCACAATTCGACACAGCCGCTTCTCCCCGGTGAGAATTCAACAGCCACAAAATAACACTGGCTGTAAAGCTGTCGTTATGAGACTTGCTAGTCTCCGTTTGAATCCTTCATCCCGCGCTAGACGCACTCGTCTGCGAACTCCAGTCGAGACGCATCAATATCTAGTAGCAGGCCGTCTCGCCGTATAAATGTACCTTGCCAAGGTTAGCGGTCGCTGCGGCACTATGGCGGCAAGCTGCATGGGCCTCGGAAACACTCACATGGTACAATGCGACCTGAAGGAACGGGTACAAATCTCCCGCTTAACATCATCAAGTAGGGAACGAACTTGAGCAGCTGAATACCCTTTGTATCGCGTCAGAGGGGCCATGCTCATGGCTTCTATACCCTGCACCATGCCCATATTCAACCATCGTCCGATTTCCTTTTGGAGCTCGGAAGATGGCCAAGGGTGGTAAGGGATTTCTTTGATGTTGCGCTTGATGTCCTCAAAACCAGCCTGTTTGAGCCATGATTCTGGCGCGGGCTCAAGGCTCAAGGGCATTCCAGCTTGCTCAAAGGCTGATCGCAGCTCGTTGAACCAGAAGCGGAGCTTTGAATCCTGTGGCAAGCTGTTATCTCCGCTCAGGGGGTGAAAGTCGATTTCGACATGTTCAATCATTCCGATACCTGGCTTCAGATGCCTTTGAGCTGATGTTAGTGCACAGCTTCTCGTATACGAACTCGGGCTTGTTCTTTACCGTAAAGCGTTTTTGTACAAAGTAGGCCAGTCGCGGATGCTTCCTGCGAGCATCTGCAAGTGGACCAAGTCGAAGGAATCTGGCTCTAGTCCCCAAGGATATTCCTCAATATCCTGACGACGGAACTCGATAGTAGCAGGGATGCTGTGTCACGTCAGCTCCGAGTTACGTGAGAATATTCACGTTCTGCATACCTTTCTGGTTGGGAATAATTTAGATCTAAACCTATGACTCTGCCAGACTGGTATGAGCTATAATGTTATTAGTGGGCCGTTCTGCGATAGACACAAGAGGATACAATCATGAGACATACTCAGCCATATCGATTGCCCATATACCCGTGCCGCACCCAAGATCGAGTATACGGGGTTCGGCACTACTAATCTTTGCTTCATGCAGGCCGCCCGCTCGAGCATCTTGCCTGCGTGCCACGGTGAAGAATTTGTGCATAATGTCCATTCTGTCGAGTTCGTTCTACAGATGTGTCAGCTTGATGAGAGGGAATTGGGGAGATTGAGAAGTTCTGGGTTCGTTGCTTGCGTACCTCATCTATGGGCATCAAGTATTGGCCCGGGTGGAAAGTAGCGTAAAACCGTCCATTCTCAGCGTACCAAGGCGCATTTGGCGATTGACCTGGTGCTTGAGGTTCAGGGGGTGGCAGAGGAGGCCGGCTAGGCTCCCTATAACGACGATTTGTTTAGCCCAATATGTCGTTATATACTTGATAGTGCCAGCGGTAGTGGAGGGGATCACCCGAAGGCAACCACGACAGGCATATCACGAAGAATGAGCTTACATATTGTAGTTAAACGCGCCCTGAGGCATGTTTGTCTTTTGTTCAGAATGCTGCGGCCAAGGCTGGTGGGAAGATTCACCTGGCTGGTGTAGCTCTGAAGCCCAGGAAGAATAGATGTTCGACATTTAAGAATCTCTTCTGTGTATATGATCTTCTTAAAGTGCAGACCAAGGTAATGTCGTGACCAAGCAGATACAGCATAAACGGTGCATGCAACAAATTGAAGAGCGAGGTCGGAACCCGGTTCCCCCTGACCGTCGACTCGCGCGTCCCAAAGATGTGTGTATGTTTATGGGTATATTGCCACTTATGCCACCACGGTTTTTGACGGCGCTGCTGCTTTCTGGTCGGCCCCCAAAAAAAAAACGCAGGGAGAGGGGAAGAAGTGAGAAAAAAGATAAAAAAGCACAGAGATTCACAGTGGAAGTAGAATAGATATGTCCTTCGGCAGAGTATTTGGCGTTGGCCGCAGCAGCACCAAAGGCAAAAATCTAGACAGGTTAAGTATTTGGTTTTTTTTTTGTTGAGGTGGGATTGGAGATGTGTGGTGCATGTGCTGTAAAAGGAGGAAACAACCGGGCACAGATAGGCGCCGCAGGCAAGATAGGCAAAGCAAGTACGACCCCGGGATAGCAGATGCGTCAGTCTGGTTTGGTAATGGCGGGGTGCCTTCCAAATTTATGAGAATGGCGAAAAAGCTAAAAAAGAAAAAAGACAGAACAAGAAGCGAGCGGCTTGATGAAGAGGGTATGTAGGCAATGTCTGTTGTCAATGCCTTGGACGGCGGCAGTGGCAAGCCGAAGTTTAAGTAATAGCTTCGGGCACTGAGGGAGCAGCCAGCGAAAGGGTAAGTAGGAAGAAAAAAGTTGTACAGAGACAGGAAGAGACAGGGGCATAAACGCCGTGGATCAACAATTAAGTTTGGGGATAGCTTCTGGTGCTTGACCACGCTGGTGGGACCCCCAGCATCTGCAGGTAGTGGGTTTTTTTTTTCCTTTCTTTCAACTCTTGACCCAAGGCATATATGTAAATCAAGTAAGGTAACGAGTAGTGATGTAGTAGGTAACGTAGGCAGGTTTTGGTAGTACCTAGCTGCCTACCTACTAGCTACCTGGTACATCAGCATTGACCATTGATCCCTACAAGGTAAGGTAGGCTAGGGGTACTTACTAACAGCCTGCAAGCGCATCAACATGGGGCAGGGCATCCAGCGTCTTGTTGTGGAAAGGCACTAACTCTTTCTATAAGTTTCGTGTAGTACCATGACATTTTGTGACATTTGATCACGTATCGAAATTCAAAGTCTTTTTACTTCTTTGTTTTCTCCTCTCTCTCTCTC